CCCTTCAGATACCGACATGGAATGTACGAGATTGACGGGTCAGCATTTCATTCAAAAAAATCCCAAAACCGAAATTTATAAAGTTGGAAGAAGAAGGTTTGTGGTGTGTACACAAAACGGAAAGAGAAAAGAAACCAGATACAGGTGTAAAAACTGCCCAGGGACACCGTCTCTCTGCCTAGACCCTTGTTTTGAGCAATACCACACCAAGGTCAACCACTACACACTGGATATGGAGAGCTGGGAAAAAGAAATAGCTTGACAAAATGTATATAGACATTTATAATAATGAACTGTAAACAATTGTAAATATAATATAATTTTTTGGAATTTTTCAAATAGCGATTTCGTTATTTAAAAATATTTAGGTAAATGTCTGCACAAAACCTTCAATGCTTGCGAAAATAAAGCACCGGGAGGGATTTAAATACCCCCGCATAAATGCACGCTATATGCATGTAACTGAGCGGATGCAAATGGTGCGTTGCACACGCTTGAGGGGTTAACAATGAAAGCTTTATCATGGCTAGTCCACTCACTTACCTTGGCCAATGTCTCTATCTGCGTTAAAAACTCGTATACGGATCTCCCCTTACTTTCCCCCATCCATTCCTTTATCCCGGCTACAAGTGAAACGTCCTTGCTCTGCCCTCTGTGGGTCTCCCCAATTCTGAGGGTTTCCAACTGAACCCGTAGTTCCTCCAGCTGTGCTTGGAAAACCTCCATTTCCACCACACGAGCCATGCTTCACGCCAAAGGGCCAATGTGTATCTACTGTAAGCTAAACTATGTTCATAGGTCTCCCACAATTTCCTTTCAAAAGCAGTTCTCACTCAAGTTCGACCACTAACTGCTTACATTTATAAACATATTCATCTACCCTTGAAAATAATTTTAATAAAAATTAAAAAAAAAATGAGTCACAGTGCCACGGCAAACATATTTGATCCCAACAAATCTGTGTGTCTAGTTATGGCAACACATAAATCAAAACACTGTCACTTAAACTCGTGGGTGTTTGAAAGTTATCCACGTCTCCTAAAATTTCTTAACCATCTCCGGTGCGTAAGCCCGGTAACTCGAGCAGAATAACAACATCATGCCGCTTGCCACCAATTTGTTGTGCCCGGATAGGGGGCATTGCCTGTACTCACCCCCTGTTGGACATCCATGGATATCACTTAACCTATGCTGTGGAAAACATGCTTCACTAGGAGGGTCACAAAAACTCGAGTTCTCCAAACAACAACAAAAAGGGAATATATAATCAGATAAACCACTCGTACAACTCTATATTCTAAAAACACATTAACCAACCAAAATAATTTAAACCAGAAGTTCTAATAAGCCATGAGTGACCCGACCACGGGCAAGTACTCACTCGCACTAAACATGATGCACATGAAAAACACTGGTGGCATCCCAAGGTTTTCCACAGGCACACTTTGCTTTACTCGTCCGTTTCTGGCAACTGCTAGGAAGAGAGTGCTTGAAACGGCCTTTTTTTTTTCTTTCCCCAAGATTCAGCTTTTTTCCCCAAGTCGCGAAAGCTGCACACCCGAAATCCCTGAGGTCAGCAACTTGCCGGACATGCCTTGTCTCGCGAAGCGAAACTTGACCGGGTCTTTCCACTGATGCGTAAACAGTCTTTTCTAAAGACAATTCGATCGACTGCCAAGGAATGTGAAGAGTCAGCCGCGGCTCTGTCTCCTCGCCTTCCAGCCAGCCGTCTAACATTTTAACCTAAGCACACAATCTTACAAAAATTATACTTAATGACTAAGAAAATGAGCACAAGTACCTTAACCACTACGCTACCACGTACCCCCATTGCTGTTAGCACAGCAAACAAATCAAAGTTGGATTTGAAGTCCTCATAGCATTGACTGTGAAGAGTACTCTTGAAGAATGCCGTGTTCTGGGATGTGGCACCATGTAGATATTGTGTAAACAGACATTTCGGAGGAACATATCTTCAGGGTTTAAAAATCCACAAGCAAAAAACCATTGTGAGCAGGTGGCTGCAGTCCCCTCGTGGATTTTTATACCATGAAGATGGAGGTGATGTGTTCCTCCAAAACATCAGGTCACACAAGATCTGTACGGCGCCACATCCCACAAGATGGCATTCATAGTCACCGCCGTGAAAACCTCAAATCTTACAGAGTAGTCTTGTTTGGAAGGTGATGCAGTGTAGTCCATTAGAAGTTCACTTATATTCCCTCAAAAGACTGGTGAACTTGTACCGGACCACATGGTATCACATTGCAGAAAATATAGTCTTCAAATCCAACAAAAATATAAAAACTGAATCTTAATTTCACCTGCATGTTGATAATGGATCCAGATGTGATCATCATATAGTGATTTGACATTATGTAGTGGCATTTTGTCTGCTACAGATGGCTCATATTTCAAAGCATCATTTGAGAAAACATGGTGTATGAGGTCATTGGATTTTTTCAATTGACCTAATCCTTCCAGCCGCGCTATGGCCCTTGGGTCGACTCAGCCTCAAATAGAAATGAGTACCAGGAATCTTCCTGGGAGGTAAAGTGCGGCCAGCATGTAAGACTGACAACCTTACCGCCATCTTTGAGCTGATTGTTTAGACAAAATGTGGGACCCTCAATGCCTCACAACCTTATGAACTTCTGAGGCCTGTTACAAGGATAGGTTTACTTTTTTTTTTGGCCCTTTGTGGTTGTTTTGGATTTGTGTTATTAACCCTTGTTTCTATCTTCTTGTTAGTTATATCTTGAAAGTGTTATATTACTGGTGCAAGGTAAAGACATCTCACTGTTGCAGGTAGTCTGTGCTCTTGCAAATGGGAAACCCATTGTTACACCGAAGTACTGGGCTGATTACATTACTTCTCTGTCAACTAAGCAACCAGTTCCAGACTGCAGGAACTACATTCCTGCTCTGGCTGAAACAACACTCAATATGAACGAGGTGTCATTTGATGTCAATGAAAACAGGAAGAAACTGTTTGCAGGAAAGCATTTTGTGTTTGTCTGTACACAGCAATATAATGCTTATTCTTGCATGGTGACTGCTGCAGGTAAGGGTATTGGCATTCTTTTATCATATATGAAGAATAATCTTTTAACCATCCAATTACTTAATAGTTCATCACTGCCACAACAAAATCCCAGCACCCTGTTTTCCATAATATATAAGCAATTTTGAAAGTATTCCTTTCTTCTTTTTTCATGAGTTATTTTACGATGCTGTCAGTAGCTAGCCTATAAAGGTTGAATGGTAGGATAATATATGAAAGATGAATTGTAAAGGACTTGGAAGTAAGCATTTGTGATCTAATCAATATGGTATCGTGTGATGTGACTGGAGGGACTGAGGAAAACTGCAAAATATCTGTCAGGGTAGCCAATGCCTCAGCTAAGATTCAAACCAAACACAACATGAATATAAGTCTAGAGCATTACCACTATGCTAGCCTGTTTGACGTCTCCATAGTGTGGTCAGTGGCTCAGATCAAATAGCCATATAATGTCCCTGAGACACTGTGGAGTTGTCACATATATTATGCTAGTATTTTATCTTATTATTATTATCATCTTGTCATAGCCTTGTGTGCTTCTGTGGTCTTGCTTCAAGAGAAGAAAGCAGTAAAGGTGATAACATGACAAGACATGGGCTTGTTGCTATTTGAATGTAACTGCAAACGATGCAAGTAGACGTCTTCAGGGGTTTAATGTCCATCTTCTTAGAGACCTGTGACACAGACACCTAAGTGATGTTTCCCTTTATATGCCATTCATTGGAACCCTCATTTATTGTTCTGTGCTTTGATACTGTCCCTCATTTAAGGTTCAGCTTCAGTGAAGTCACGCCAGTAATGTTACTGGTATATTTCCTTACACTGGGGTTTATCCATTTCTCTGTAACTTAAGTCTTTTAATTACTCCAATAACATTAAAAATTATGAGCCATGATTTTTTTTTCATTTTGCAGGTTTAATTGTCTTTGCATGCTGTTGTGCATAGGTTATTTAATGACACTTTCATTAGTGAGGCTGTATAGTGTCAGATGATGGGATGACTAATGAATTGGAAAGTACTTGACAGGAGATGGTTGTGACCTAATTGAGGCACTATCCCTGAAAGTCTATGGTCCATTCGCGGAGACGAGACAGTCAGCGTAAACAAAGCAAGCCCCGCGTCGCCACAGCTGACAGCAAGGAGTGGACAAAGCACGCAGTTACTCAGTGTACTCACTGCATTCAGACGCATGTTAACCTGCATTCAGACTGAAGAGTGAACTTTGGATGCCCCTGCAACGAAACACGCATCATGTGATCGCTGCATGATTTCATTCAAAGAGCGAAGGAGACACCGCGTGCATTTGTTTACAAGGACTCTCTCGTCTCCGCGAATGGACTGTAGAGGCTTGGTGATAAGGTGTGGGTGGTTAGAAAACAGAGTCTCTCTTGAGATATCCTTCGAAGGGTGTCAGTGTAGGCCACGCCATAGCTCAAGCGTTAGTTGCTGGCTTCCCACTGCGGTGGCCCGGGTTCGATCCCGGCTCTGGTCAAGTGTGATTTGTGGTGGACAAAGTGGTGCTGGGGGAGGTTTTCTCTGAGTACTTCGGTTTCCCCTGCCAATCTTCAATCCACCAATTGCTCCACAATCACCCTCACTTATCTGGGGCCGGTACAATAGGCCAGAAGTGGCCGCAGTACAAGGGACTTAGTCTCACACCACTAGCAATAAAAAAAAAGGTATCCTTGTAGTGCTGAAGTTAGGAATGGTGGAGCTGTGCCTTCACTACCCCCACATGTCGTAATGGCTAAATGCTTAGTTAATTAAATAAATACGAGGATAACTTCACCTATGTAATGCCAGTCACTATTTTTTTCCTCATGGAGTGAGACTTGAGTCCACTTGGTACTTTGGCCACTGCTGGCCTTATTGTACCAGCCCCAGATGATAGATGATGATTATTGTGAAGCAGTTGGTGGAATGTGAATTGGCAAGGGAAACCGAAGTACCTGGATAAAAGCTGCCACAATGCCACTTTGTTCACCTCAAATCCTATATGGTGTGACCCAGGCTTGAACCTGGGCCACACTGTTGGGAAGCTGGTGACTGACTGCCTGAATTATGGTGCAGCCTGTAGCCAGTTACACTAACTGTATGTACTAGTACATGAATACTGGATATCAGCTCCTTGAGGTTAATGCAGTCATTTGTTCTAATGAAATGTGTCAATATAATAGTCATGTCTCTAAATTTGTTTTCACAGTATTGGGTACAAGCATTGCCGCTAGAAAAACTAAAGAAAGTGCTATAATGGTCATGAATGAGGTTAAAACAAGTAAAACTGGGACGTAGTGTGTAAAGTAAGAAACTTTAAGTCAGAGAAGTGTCACAGAAGCAGCCATTGCTATGCAACAGCTTATATTGCACTTTGGCTCTTTTCTGTTAAGTTTTAAATTTCTTATTTATAATTTTCTGGCAGATGGAGGCCTGCTTGTTATTTCAAGATGTTCTCAACAGTTTCATGCATATTATGTACGATGGGGTACCCAAAAGAGACCGAATTAATTTTTTTGTGGGCAGAGCTTTTGTAGTACCGCGTTTTGCCACTATGAGCGCATAGAGCTAACATTCCTGAGTCGATAAGCCGACTACCATTGCTTCAGAAGGTAAGGACTAGTTTCGGCAGAGTTTATAGTGACAACTGTTTTGTGTGATCGTCGTTTTTGCAATGGCTGATTTTCGTGAACAGCGTGCGGCGGTGAAATTCTGCTTTTTGCTCGGGAAAATTGGAACAGAAACTCTTGAAATGTTAAAAACGGCATACAAGGACGATGCTATGGGGAAAACTCAAGTGTTTGAGTGGTTTTCCCGTTTCAAAAATGGTGAAATGTCAATTGATGACAAACCTCGTTCTGGTCGTCCTTCCATGGCCCGAACACATGAAAATGTTGAAAAAATTCGTGAAATCATCAAGGAAGATCGACGACAGACCATTGAAGAAATTGTGGAGCTGTCAGGAGTGACTTGGAGCTCAGCGGCCAGATTTGTGGCAGTCGGGTGACTGGTTTTTCCATCATGACAATGCCCCTGCTCACACAGCCCTGTCTGTACGACAATTCTTGACCAAAAATGGTATGACCCCTGTTCCTCATCCTCCATACTCACCCGACCTTGCCCCATGCGACTTTTTTTTTGTTTCCTCGAATGAAAAGAGACATGAAAGGAAAAACCGATGGAGGCGCTGTCAAGCATCTCAAAAGATGAATTTAGACAATGTTTTGAAAAATGGAATAAAAGACTAGACAAGTGTATTAGTGTAAGTGGAGAGTACTTTGAAGGGGATTGAAGGTTTGTGCTTAAAATTTGAATAAATAAGTTTTAAAAAAAACAAGTTCGGTTTCTTTTGGGTACCCCCTCGTATGAAATCTGATATTGATGAATTGATTGATGAATTGATCATTTCTTTTATGATTGGAAAGATGTAAGTGTAAAAGTAGTTCGTGTATTTCCTTGACCATTTTTTTTTCAGGTGGAAAAGCTGATATTCTGGAGCAGAATGGAATGACCTATGCAGACCTGGTACAACCAAATACAATTGTAATGCAATATGCTTTTAACAAACCATCCCAAGAGACACAAGTGCCTCAGTCATTTCAAGAAGTGACAAGTGAGTTCAGAAATCACTTCCTGTGTGACCAGTTTCCTTTCTGACAGATCTCAATATTTGAAGCCACTCCAGAATGTTGGCTTATGTGATTTTAAGTGATACAATCTGTTTCATCATTGGCTTTGTTATTTTAATGACTGTTAATCTAGATCATTTTAAATTTGTGTATGAAGTTCTGGTATTCACATCATGTTTTTTAACTTTATTGATGGTTAATTTTATTCAGTTAGCAATATATTTTATGAACATGTTAATTAAGTTGGCTGAATATTTTTGCTTAGTATGGAAATTAAGTAATGTAAATTCTTTATGTAACAACCAGCTCCCCTCTCTAATGATTCCTATATTTTCCACAAAATGTTTGTGCATTTAAATGTATATTTAAAAAAAAATTGCTGACTCTAACCTTTGCTTCTTCTTTGTATTGGGAAGTAGGCTTTGAGAAACTGAACTGCAGTGAACCCCCCCATTTTAGGTCTCTTTGGGGAGCAATGGATGTATGTGCCAAACTGAGGGGAATATTAAAGAGAGGAAGTTAAAAACTTAGATTGTTGAATTGGGTTCATTGAAATTAAATGTCAGATGAGGAAACCCATTAAATTGATGAGCACTGCATTGGGGTTTCACATTATTTATTATTTGAATAAATCCATTTTGATTTATTTGGCTGCTTTACAGAACTTAATCATTTAAACTAATTGGTAACTCATGATTTCTATATGAAAGTACACCTGCCTTTTCTCTTTGTGTGTAACAGAATTAGTATATGAAGGGGGACCCAAAAATAACCGGAACCGACCTGTTGCGCACACATGCTTTGTAGTTACGAGTTGTGCTGCTAGCTGGTGTTAGCTGGGGGTCTCCCGCGACTGTTAGTGAGCTGGCGTCAGTCTGAGTTAAGTGGTTTGTCTGTGGTGCTCTGTTGTGTGCGTTCCTGTTTCAACCCTTTGGCGATTAGTGAGAATGGCATTGTCCACAAAGAGTTCACTCCACCAGGACAAACAGTGAACCAACATTTTTACCTGGATGTGTTACGAAGATTACGAGAGAGTGTGCGACGAAAACGGTCCGAAATGTGGAGAAATGGGAACTGGTTGCTTCACCATGACAATGCTCCAGCCCATCTCATGTGCAAACCTTCGGTTAAAATTCGCTGGACCGTGCTCCATGAGATGTTCGTTTCCTCAGAAAGTTGGTCAATGGTCTTTCGACGATCTTCATCAATTGCACGTTTGATTTTGGCAATGTTTTCGTCATTTCTTCCTGTCGAAGGACGCCCGGGGCGTGGCATGTCTTCTGTTGACATGTTGCCAGATTTGAAACGGGAAAACCACTCGTAGACCTGTGATTTCCCCAAAGCATCATCATTAAAGGCTTGCCGAAGCATCCCAACAGTCTCGGCTGCAGTTTTCCCTAACAGAAAGCAAAATTTCACGCACACTCTTTGTTCCTTCTGGTCGGCCATCTCACTAATCGCCAAAGGGTTGAAACAGGAACGCACACAACAGAGCACCACAGACAAACCACTTAACTCAGACTGACGCCAGCTCACTAACAGTCACGGGAGACCCCCAGCTAACACCACCTAGCAGCACAACTCGTAACTACAAAGCATGCGCGCACAACAGGTCGGTTCCGGTTATTTTTGGGTCCCCCTCGTATGTAATATTTAAGTTATTTTCTCTTATGACAGGTAACCATTTAGCTAGACAGAGTACAGTAATTCAATGGACAAATTACGTATAACATTGTGATATCTAGAAAATGTCTCCTGTGGAGCCCTAAAATGAACTACACCAATGACGTGTGACATGTTTTTTTATGTTACAGAATATTTAAAATCAAGGGGTAAGCGAGTGATTCCTGAAAGTGAAATAGGCCTTGCTATTCTACATTGCTCCGTTGACAGACATTGTAACCCAGATTACAGAGTTGCTTCAGTGTTGATACCCAAAGGGACTAGAAACATTAGTCACCCTGAAGTTGTTTTGGCTTTGGATACACAAGACTCAGAATCAGAGAGTATAAAGAGAATTAGAGAAGCAGCAAAAGATACAGTTATCCCAGAGAGTGGGACTGTGCTAAAACTCTCAGGTTCCGTTGTCACTTCAACTCCAAAACATGTGATGAATGACAGGGAAAGTATGGAGAGTAAGACTGTAAATGTCAGAATTCCAGGCAGAACTGTGGAGAAAGAAAGGCTGCCAGTGCATGACAAGACGGATGCTTCTTATGTTTCACAAAAAAGGTGAGCTGTAAATTCTGTGGCAGTAATTGTCTAGTGCTGTCCTATACAAGGCTGTGAGCCAGAAATTTCTGCATACCAGAACATAAATTTCATTCTCACTCACACTGATCCACACAAATTAACAGTTTGTTATTAATTGATTTTCTTTAAGTTGTATGAGTGAGGTCAAACTGAGTGCCTTTGGTAAGGTGACCTCATATATGTAGTATTTGCTGGAATAATGCTTGGCAGGGGAAAACTAAAATGTTTTAGAGAAACACGAGCCCCACTTCCATTTTTCCCACCCCAAGTCATACAGGGATTATCTTGGATTGAACACAGGCCTCAACAGTGAGAAGGTGGCACCTGATTTCCTCAGCTTTGCCATGACCCAAGTAATTTAGACATAATTTTTCTTATCAAAATATTTATTTTGAAGTCAATTCTGCATGCCACAATTTTTTTTGTGTGTGTATATGTCACTTGTGGCAGTGATACCGTTGATTTTTTACCACTTAGTGGGTACTAGTGTATTAATCAAGGGGTCTGAGGTTCAGTTCACATGCCTGTTATCTGAATTTGTTATTTCAGAGTTTTGAATTGTGACATGAATCAAAGAGGTTATTTAGAGTAACTCTTTGTTATTCTAATTTAAATTTTCCATGGCTCACATTGATACTTTCATGGAAATGCCGAAACAGTAAAGGCAAAGTTGTTCCTGTGCTTAATTAGTTAAACACTATGCCATGAAGCCATAGGGGGGTGGGGGGGTTATAGCTCCAACGTTCTTGACCTTAACACTAGATGGAGGTGAGTGGTCAGCTTCATGACCCTGGCACTTTACCCCCTGGGAAAGAATCCCCTTACTAATTAGCTAGGAGGCTTGGTGGGCCCCAGAGTCAGACTGGGCACTGTGGAGAGGAGAAAAATCTTTTGCTGCTGGGAACCGAATCCGGGCTGCCCAGCCTGTAGCCCGTTGCTATACTGACTGAGCTATCCCAACTCCATTGCTAGAGGTTGAGGTTGAGGTTGAGGTGTAAAACCTTCCCACAGAGGTCCTCTACTATCATGCTGAAATGTGGTTAAAATAAATGCAGCAATATGAAAATACATAAAGGAAAAGAAACGCACATACTTATTTATAGATATAAGAGACATAAGAAGTGTGTAATTAATTATATTCAGGGCATGCTTTTAATTTTTGGCTGTTATGTAGGTTTTGTTTTTCTGTTAGGTTCAGAAGTTTGGAAGATGATGGCTTCCTCAGAAAGAAGGCTGCTGCTACTGCCATTGAACAGTCCCATGTAATAATAAAATTGGAACCTGATGCGAAAAATGGTAGCGATGATGAAGATTTGTTTGAGTTTCCGTCTGATAAGAAAGCCAGGCTGGCAGCTTGTGAACCAGCAAATGAAGATGAAGACATTTTCGCTTTTGCTGATGACGTAAAACCCAAACCACTCCAGTTACATGCACAGAAAGATCAACCTGTAGAGTCATCTGAGCTGCCAAAGAAAAGAAAGCTTCAGAATGGAGACACTACATTTGAGCTGAATTCTTTCAGTAAGAGACGCGTCCTAGAGAAGGATGTTTGCCATCAGCAGATCACAGAATCTTATAAGGATGAACCCATGGAACACAGTGTTTCTCCTTCCGGTTTCCTTACTGTTGTTCAAGATACCAAGGTAAGCTGCTTCCATAATAACAGTTGCAAGATACAGTGGGGTCACATCTTTTGTGGCCTCTCTGTTCTAGTGGTCAGAGTTCAATTCCTGGCACTACCAGATTTCTTCTGAGAAATAGTGGGTCTGGAACGGGGTCCACTCAGCCTCGTGATGATAATTGAGGAGCTATTTCAAGGAAACAGCAGCTCCAGTCTAGAAAACCGAAATTAACGGCCATGGGGATTTGTTGTGCTGATCACGTGACACCCTCTATCCGTTAAAGTTTCTAAGCAACGGATCTGTAAAGACACAACAATAGGGGTGTTGCTGGAAACGGTGTTTTCTATTTGGTCCTTGGAAAGTGGTTATAAAGAAGAATTTAGTTGAGAATAGCTGAGTTCAGGAGGTACAGTGAGCAGTAGTTGAGATTTGGGCTCTGCAAAAGGAGGCTGAGAAATGAGTTCAGGTGTGGAGTGTTAACTAGCTGCGCAATGATGTGACCATGGAAGCTGATGCCAGGAAACAGCTAGTGGAGAATGCAGTAGACTGAGGGCACTAGTCTCTGTGTGTGTGTGTGTGTGTGTGTGTGTGTGTGTGAGGGGGGGGGAGAGAGACACACACACACGGACGGCTGTAAAGTGTAGTTCCAAGTGGTGCATACAGGTGGTTAATAAATCCAATTCACCAATCCAAACCCCATCTATAATCACACGCCTAATTTGTGACAATATAAGAAAGAGTACATATACAAGTAAAATGTAGAGTAATTATATTTTTAATTATGTAGAGGGAGAGAGAGAGATGGAAGAATGAAACAATAAAAAGGAAAAGAGTAAACCTGATGGGAGAAGTCAGAGACACATGGGAACTGAGGAAGAGGCAGGGTTTACACTTGATCCATCTCTGGGATGTAGTAATGTCGTGTAGTTTAATTAAAGTCAACAGACACTTCAAACGATCACAGCAAGGAAAGCGCTTTGCTCGCTATCTGCTTCATGCTAGTTCCTTGCTTGACTTACTCTTCGACTCTGAAGCTGGAGATGACATGTCCTCTGAAATGTCTGTTGACTTTCAGTGAAGTCCACAAGATCATATCCCAGAGAAGGGAAATCCAGACTAAAGACACAAGACACATCCCAAGGGCCAAGGAGGCCAGGGTGGAGGGGTTGGGGCTGAGTATGATGTGAGATGTATACATGGCTCAGCTCAGAATATGTTGTTCTTATTGAATTAAAAAAAAAAGTATTATGTTACCTACTTTCCATAACACTTTAAAGATTTATAAAATTAATGTTAAGTTGCTCAATGTTTTTTTATTGTTCCCAGGTATTTTGTTATATTTATAAATTATCCTGTAATTCCATGGTGCTTCATCAGACAGGATAGCCCAGTCTGTTTAGTGATGGGCTACAGGCTGGATGGTCAAGGTTTCATTCCCAGCAGGGGCAAAATTTTTCTCTTCTCCACAGTGTCTAGACTGGCTTTGGGACCCAAAAAGCCTCCTATCCAGTGGGTACCCAGGACAATTTCCCCAGGGTTAAAGTGGCTGGGGCATGAAACTGGCCACTCATCTCTGTCTATTTCAGAGGACAAGAATGGTGGAGCTGTACCTCCACTCCTCCATATGTCTTCATGGCATAGTGCTTAAGTGACTAAGCACAGGGGCAACTTATAGTTTTTCATATTCACCTTACATTCGCGGTACTTAAGAAATTGTAAAGTTGTGTCATGGTAACCAACTTGATGATTGCTTCTTGCAGGAGAATGCAGCATTGGACAAGTCCATAATGAATCTTCCTGACGGCCTGAAGACTATGACTGTGGTTGAAGTTGAAGATTTAGTTTCTCGAAATATCGCAGTCATCGGACCTCATGCTGTAGAGCCCAGATATGTTGGCACTAACTTCAAGAAGTTCAGAAAGGTCTTGTATGTTTCTTATTCTTGAAATCTTTAGAGAGAAATTGTCTGGCTTTTGACCATGTCTCTGTTGCATATCATGAATGGTGGGTTTAACAACATTTCTTCTTGAAGCGACCATGAGGCCACCCATTATTAAAATGCAGTGCTCATTTTACTAAAATTGACGACTTTGAAATTATTTGAAATGTTATATAACTTCAGCTTTTGGAGTTTATCATACATTGTACAGGTTACCATATTCACCCTGAAGATGCCAAATGCAGTATATTGTGAAATGGAATGGTGAAGCTGAAGTTACATTTAGATATGAGTATCCAGAAGCCTACGGAGAAGGCCATTTTAAACGTGGCTGTCACTCATCTCACGCCGACCTCCTGCCTTCTAACACCACAATCCGAAGACTAACTTTGCTTGTCCCATTGGTCCCCATGATATAGACTGGACCCAGCAGAAAACACCACTTCCAACATTTCATCTGTTGTTCCCTGATTTCGCTGCTCTCATGGAGATGTGTTTATTGTGCCATTGCCTAGCAACGTGCCTTGGCTTTTAGAAAATATGTCACAGTATTGTTGGATTGATCAAATTAATGATAAAATTGGTAGGATATATAGCATACATGTGAAAGAAGACAAACATGTACAGAATTTTGGGTGGAAAACCTAAAGTAGTAGGACAACTTTGGGGACCTAGAATAGATGGGAGGATAAAATTTAAATGGATCCTAAAGAAACTATGTGTGTGAAGATGTGAACTTGGTCCAGATGGGTCATTACAGGGTCTCACTGTGGCCTTTTCTAAACATTGTACTCAACTTTCAGGTTCCATGAAAGGGAGGGTGTGCTGAGTGACTATAAAATTCATAAGGACCATGTTCCATGGAGTTACTTAATGTAAAAATAACAGTTTGGCAATATGCACAGTGCATCTCAATCAAAATGTTTTGTATGAATACTTGTTAAGTCACATTTAATATATGTTGTCATTATCTCAAAGACAACCTGGCATGTGACAAAAATGTACGTGACTTAAAATATTGATTCCACCTTGTTGATAAGGAGTTTAATTTGATTTTTAAGGGGGTCTGTTTTGTCTGGAATGTTATTTGTTCTGCTTAGTATTTTTATGAAAATATGTGAAGGCCTTACTGTATAGTCATCATTTAGCATATAGGATCAGAACAGTCAGTAAATTTTCATAAGGACTTCATTATTCTGACAGTCATTTCTGTGTTTAATGTTCTGTTTTAGGTCCAAGCAGTTAACCACTGGCCTGTGGTTAGAAGTGAGGACTTGATTCCATTTGAAGTTGATACTAAAACTCTCTGTAAATGGCTTAATGAAACACATAATGGAACTGAAATGAAAAATAATGGTGATAAAATGGAAGATAACGATGATGATTGGGCTTTCTTAGGGCCTTCACAGACTAATAAGAAAAAAACTCAAGCTAGACACAAATGAATTTTAATTTTACTGTTATATTTGAGGATGCTTATAAAATATCTGGAAAGTACAGTAATAAATTTAAAAATAATTTTTAAACATGAGAAAATGTAATTTAAGATTTTAGTATCCAGAAGAAAAAAATTGGGCTGATAGCACTATATACCGGTGTTGTTTATTGTCGCTGTAAGAACTTAGTTGCAAACTGAACATCTTATTTGTACATCAGCTGAACCAGCACAACTGCAAGATATACACAGACTTACCAACTTACCAATAGAGGTGTGAGTGATGACAGACACTAATAAGAAATAGAGTGTGAGAGTGTGAGTATTAGCTGGATTTGGCCGGCTCAGGGTAGGGATCAGTAGTGGGCTCTTTCTGGATACAGTAATGAACCTTCTAGTTCCATAAAAAAGTGGACATATATTTGGGCAGCTGAATATCAGTTTCTCATAAGGACCCTGCTTCCAGGAGTGAGATAAAGACACTTTGTATGATAACTTACAGTTAGGTAGAGGTATGTTTTCTTCCTACTTTACACNGGTCGTCCAGCCTATAGCCAGATGCCACACCAGCTGCACTATCCTGGCTCCCTGGTTTCATAAGAGGTCCTGAGCTTCTTGTGTAGCTTTTGGCTTCTCAAGGACTCTTTCGCATGTAGTTGAAATAGTTCCAGAGGGTTTTAACTCAGATGGTGAGGTACAATGAAGATTTGAAGCCAGTTGTTTATTGTGGTATATTGAAACATAAGAACATGCATCCCTACACCAAAATAATTCTTTAAGAAACCATTGGTAGAAGAGGATCATGAGCAGTAAGAAGTTTTAATGCTGTAGTGAGAATGTGCAAGTGTGATGGGATGACTGTTAAGTAATGAAGTGCAAAAGGTATGGAAGGAAATTGTAGCCTAATTTGAGATATTGTCTCAGCATTCCACTGAGCAACTGAGGAAAATCATAAAAAGTCTCAGGATTGTGGGTCTGTAGCTGAGATTTGATCCTGGGACCTTCTAAACATAAAGCAGAAGTGCCAACCACTTGACCTCAGCATTTGGTAAGAATGTATTACTTGCACAAGTTCTGCAAAACATGCTTCTCTATTAGGCTTTTGTCAGTGTTGGTGGGAACATTGGTGGATGGTAGCTTACAAGAAATTGGATAAAATTCTGTAATCTGAAGAAGCAATTTATCTCTTGTCATGTGAACATGTGCAGGATAATATAGGAGAGGCACAGAAATAACTGAAAAAGAAAAAGTCAGTCATGAAAAAACTGTCCAACAAAAAGGGGGTTGTAATAGCAGTTTGTATTATTGCTGATAGCTTCTATTTAAATTAGTAACTGTTGTTTTGCTGCACTGTCCAGTTTTTATGCTTTATGCTGATACAAATATGTGTATCTTGATTGTAGATAAAGGAGAAAATAAGCTTAAAGAAAAAACAACTCTCCTAATGAACCGCTTAGAAAGTTGGTTTAATAAGAATGAGCTAATATTAAATACTAGGAAGTCTTGTGCCCTATCATTCCACCCAAGACAAAGGGAAAGAGTTTGTTTATAGTGATGTAGAAATCCCTTATAAATCAGATGTAAAGTTCTTATGAATAAAAATTACTGAAAATTTGAGATGGAATATCCATATGAAATCTGGATGTACAAATTTAAATAAGGCTTACTTTATTATTAAAACCTTAAAGGAAACCATGAGCCATAAAATGATAGATATATCTACTATTCTTATTTTCAGTCAAGATTGAAATATGGAATAATTTTCTGGGGACCAGCAAAAGGTAGTATAATGGTCTTTCGGTTACAAAAGGTGATGGGACTAATAGCGGGGGTGAATAAAAGAACGTCTTGTAGAAGTATGTTTTTCCAGTTCAAAATTCTGACCATGCCCTCTTTTTATATCTTGACCATATTATATTATATCAAACAGTTGAGGGATAATCTGGAATGTAATTTCCAGAAGTATGAGTACAATACTAGAGGCAAAAATAAATTATATATCCGAGCATGTAGGACAGCCCTTTTTCAGAATAATGTGTTAAAGAAGGCAAGTAGATTATATAATAAATTGCCGGAAATAATAAGAATTTTAGAAAATTTCAGAAGGTTTAAAAAGGAGGTAAAATAATTGTTGATCTCGAATACCTTTTACTCGTCGACAAGTTTTTAAATTCCAACCTTTATTAAAAATTGTCAAATTATGTTGGTGTTAAATCTTTCATCCACCTTTCCTGACACTAATTTTTTTTTAATTACACAATTCTAATTGTGATGGATTAAGTATTGTTATTATGTAATTGATCGTATTTATGTAATCATTACATTTCTGTAATTTATGTGATTTGTTTTCATTGGCTATTTCTGTATCCGCTGGTATTCCAGCTATATCCCATATTAGGATCCATGGAAATAAAATTAATAATAATAATAATAATAATAATGAATGGGTTTGATATATATCTGCAGGTCTGTGTACGTGTAAATTTTAATTGTACAGGGCCAGCATGGGCAGATGCAAACCAAAGTAAAAATCTTTAATAAAATATGCAATATTTACACAAAGAATAAATATTACATTGTGCTAAGAGGTTACCAGATATTCTTATGAAAGTGAAATGTGAGAATAAAATCCTGTTTTAATCCATATCTTTTCATTATAACCTCAACTTTATATGAAATACAAGTCAAACTTCATAATTAAAAAAAAAACCTCATTGTATAAATAATTAATTAATAAAATGATATGTAGAGATCCCATTATGATTTAAAACTTCTATATGGAACATTAATCTGTATGGTATGTATTTAATGAAATAGAAACAAGCATAATATATGGCTCTTCACTCACTCACGGAGCTGAGCCTTGAGAAGCTGCCAATTGTGCAGTTACTCAATAGCTTCCCAGCATTTTATGGAACCTGAAGGTTCATTGCCATGTTCACAAGAGCCCTCCACTGATCCCTATCCTGACCCAGATCAATCCAATCCATACAATCCCATTCTGTCTCAAAGATCCATTTTAATATTGTCCAAACACCTACATCTTGGTCTTCCCTGTATTCTCTCTCCATCTGGCTTTCTCACTAATATCGTATATGCATTCCTGTTCACCACCATTCGTGCTACATGCCCTGCCCATCTTATTCTAATTATACTTGGAGAAGAGTACAAGTTATGAAGCTCCTCATTATGCAGTTGTCTCCAACCTCCTGTCACTTCATCTCTCTTCAGTCCAAATATTCTCCTCAGCACCCTGTTCTCAAACACCCTAAGTCTATGTTCCTGCCTTTACCACTGGTAAAATTAAAGTTTTGTATATTCTAATTTTTATGTTTTTAGACAGCAGACGAGAAGACAAAAGGCTCTGGACTGAATGGTAGCAAGCATTACCCACGTTCGATTTCCTCCTGAATCAAGTTTTGATTTGTTATAGTCATTCCCAAATATCTGAACTGTGCCACATTTTCAAAACATCTGTTACCTATCTTTATGTCATGATTTTGCCCTGCATTTCGGTGATGAGACAGCAACATATACTTAGTTTTCGCTGCGTTTACTTCTAGAACAACCTCCTTACAAGCACCAAATAAAGTTTTTTTTTATGGTATATACAGTAGAACTTGGTTATAACGTCATCAAAGGGACCTAAAAATAGTGTCGTTATAAACGAGTGTCGTTGTAACCGAAATGGGCACTTCCACAGTAGCCTTATGTTAGTCACGTAAAAATCTACCAAAAACCGAGTTAAAAATGTTGCATTTTTTAGTGAAATACGTAGTTAAGTACAGACTAACGTAACATTAACGTGGAATTGCCCAAATGTGTAATATCAAAGACATATTACAGCACTTTTCACTGACAATACACACCGCACTAATACTGTATATTAAAGGTAGGCCTACTCACCAAATTACAGTAGATTACATCAATTGTTGTGCCTTACTGTACCTAGATACGAGTACAGTAATCAGTTATCTTCATCTGTTTCCTGTTACTTGCCCAATACACACTTTCTAAATTACGTTCAATGTCCATATCAGAGAAATTCAGGAATGAAAATGACGTTACATACGAGGTTGATGCATTTGTGCATGTCGTACTAAGCAAGGTATAAAAACAGTTGCTTTATGAGGAATTAGTTCGTACCATTGAATATTTGACGCAATAGACAAGGTGTCGCAGAAACCGATGTTGCTATAACCAAGTTTTACTGTATATTATCACCCAGTAAATTCACATCATCAGCATAGACCAACAGTTGATGTGTCCCATTTAATTTGAGTCCCACCTGGTTTTCCTGGACCTTCCTAATGGTATATTCTAAATCAAAGTTGGAAAGGAGTTGCAATAAAGCATCTCCTTGTTTTAGGCCATTCTGGATAGGGAAATTATCAGACAAATGTTTACCTATACAGACATTACCATACATTTCATTTAAACATATTTTTAATCAGTGTAACTAGTTTCATGGGTACCCCAAATTCTATCAGAATATTGTACACTCCTTCCCTCCTAACTGAATCTTAGGCTTTCTTGAAGTCTATGAATAGCTGATGTACTGTCTCATTGTACTCCAATTTTTTCTCCAGTATCTGACAAAAGCAAAAGATCTGATCAGTTGTTGATCTGTTACATTGACACCCACACTGATCATCACCAGTAATTTAATCTATATATGGATTTAACCTTGAGAGAAGGTTGTTGGATAGTATTTAGTGTGAAGTTGTTGCAATATCCCACCATAATTACTAGTCATTTTTATTGCCCTTTTTGTGAATTGGTACAATAATAGACACCTTCCACTGATCAGTCAATTCTTCCTTATTCCAAATATAGAATTAATGAGTTTATAGATGCCGGACCATAATGTTTCACTTCCTGCTCGAATCAGTTCTGCCGGAATTTGATCACTACCTGGCGATTTATACCTTTTGATCTTTGCAATAAGAACTTGAACTTCAAAAGGACTAGGATTAGGTACTAAGAGTTCAGTTATATGTATTTCTATCTGCCTAACAGCACTGACCCTATGTATATTCAATAACTGAGAGAAGCAGTTCTTCCACCTATTCAAAATGTTGTGGGAATCTGCAAGCAGATCACCATTCTCATCCTTCACTAAGTTACTGCTAGGCTGGTAACCCCTCCTGAAGTCATTTATTCCTCTATACAGGTCTCCAATGTTCTTGTTCTTACTGTTCATTGCAAGCTCATCAATTTTGTCTTTCAGATATTCCCTTTCATTTGTTCCTGAAATGCCTGCTGGTTTCACATCTTATATTGTTCAGATTATTTCCATTCATTTCACTTGGATCCTGTAACCATTGCAGCTTGGCCTGTTACCTTTGATCTAATAATTTTGAGCATCTTTTGTCAAACCATGATTTATGCTTCTTCAGTTCTTAATAACCTAGACTCTCTTTGGCTGAAATTTTATATTCCCTCCTAATAGTTTCCCAAACTCTATTAATATCCACCTCAGTGGCGAAGTTTTCCAAAGTTGTGTACCTGTTTTGAGATTTCAACATGATACTCCTCTTTACCCTTTACCTCTCCATTTGAACTCATTGTTTGTTTACTCAGTGCCATTCTCTCCCTAACTTACCACCACCAGATCCTCAGTTAAGATTATTATAAAATGTATTTAGAGTGCCTAAATGAAACTGAGTTTAAGACTTATCATATTGTCATGTGCTGGGTATGTCACACGACAAATAACTTCACGTGGGTCTCGGATTCAGCGAATCTTTATTGGACACTCACACTTATACACCTTACAATTGTTATCACCTCAACTGTATTCTGGCGGCTATCTTTCGACTGTGTTGTATGGCAACTAGGTTCCAACTATACTGTATGAAGGCTAATTAGCTCTGTAGTCCTGTAGCTCTGTTGCTCTCGGCTTATGCAGGTGTTCTGCGGACCGGATACGAGACACCATTCACCAAGGTTCGATCTCACGGGTTCGGCAATCCATTGCTTTGGGAACGCCCTTTATACACTGGTAACGTGTTTCGTCTCATCCATTGTTACTCAACAGCCTTCTGTTGTTCGTCTCCAGGGGAACGTGTTCATGTTTCGGCACTGTTTACGCGACAGCTCATTGTTATTATGTTACCATGGTAGTAACTCTTCTGGATTCCAAACCTGTGACATTCATGCTGAGTCCTGTTTCGATTTTCTCCTTAATATGGGATATGTACCTTAGAGAAATGGTATGTGGTGGTATGGACTGGATTGATCTGACTCTGGATAGGGATCAGTGAAGGGCTCTTGTGAATACAGTAATGAAAATTCAGGTTCCATAAAATGGTAAATTCTTGAGTAGCTGAGAGACTGGTAGCTTTTGAAGTAGGCCTCAGCACCACAGGATTAGGATGTGTAACTTCAATTGTTTGGATGTAATATAGGGAAAAAAAACCTGCTAGCTGCAAATGCTAGTAACTTCCTGTGTAATTTGGTAATACCTATCAATGAAGCATTTTATTAATAAAGTGGTAACTTCATGGAGCTGAACCCTTCTTGGGATCTTGCAGTTATGCAGTTACTCAAGAACTTCCCAACATTTTATGGAACCCATAGATTCATTACAATGTTCTCAAGAGCCCTCTACTGATCCCTAATACTGTAGTTTATATCAATTTGGTTTATAAAAGAAGTACACAGTACATACAATATCCAGAACATGACTCAGCATAGACCAGTGTTTTGACAAAATTCAGTACATTTTGTTTGCACTAAAACTGAGGAGTAAATCTGTTTCTGAGCTACAGCAATTCATCATTACTGTTAATAGATGAATGTGAAAATTCTAGCATTTCCTAAACCATATGCTTGATTATGATAATTTTGCATTTGAAAATTTGGTTTTGTAAATATAAAGAGATCTTCACCATTTTATGCACCTGTTAATAAAAACTAAATTAAATAGAATCCTGTCTTTATTGTAGTTTCTCCAGCCCTAGAATTTAGTGGATCGTATAGTGTGTCAATGTTTGGTCTGGTTATATAATTCTGTTCATGTTTGTTCTTTCTGGAATTTATCTGAGAATAGTCATTCCTGTTATGAATGGAAAAATGTAAAGATCAGTCATCAACAGATAACTATAACACACTACTTCAAAAGAAAAGAAACTGGCAAAATATACTGCTGAGTAAAAGCGTAGGATGTGTGTACACACACACGGGATATGTTCTCTTTTCTGGAACTATCCATGTGAAACCAAAAACTGTCTAAAACAGAATTAGAAAAAAAAAATAGATATTGCTATTTTGCCATGAACGTGAAACAAAAGAATTATATAACCAATCCATCATTAGCAAATAGAGTTCATAAGTTGAATATGTGATATTAAGTATATGATTTTGATAATTTCATTGAAATACTGTAAATCTGTTTACTCACCTTCAAGTAGTAACATAAATACAGAACCAGAGTTGATCTGTGTAATTTTTATGCATCCCCATTCTCTTATTCAAAAATCTCTGGCATTCATAAGGCAAGCATTATGTTCTGTGTGTTTGAGAAATGATCAGCATTCAGTGTGAAAGTATGTAGTTAAATCTAATTTTCAGTCACAAGTTCAGCAATGATGAAACAGAACATCTGAAAAGCTGTACTTGCAATTATTTGACCATTTTTCCATACTCTGTGAAATATTGTGGAGTTAAATTTACGTGTATATACCTTGAATAATATAAGATTGAAAATCAATTCTGTTAGTTCCTTCTTTAAAACCGAAGCTGAATAGTAAGTAAATGGACAGTTCTAAGACACCCTTTTTTAAAATGTTGTCTCAGACATATAGCGAAAATTCCATGTGAAGTTTCTTTGGGGGTTCCATTGAATATTTAGCTTGGAAGGTATCTATAAAGATTAAAAATTCCTTTCTCTTCACCTTGGCACCTGTTTTTCAGAGCACCAAATATATGGAGTATGCGCACAAAAGTTTGCCAACTGTCACAGATGTAATCACGTGGGCACGGTTTATATAAAAGATCACACATAATTATTTAAATTTTATTACCCTTTGGAATTTATAATTACATTTTAATGTAACAAAATGAACATAGTTTACTTCTTGGGAGCCTCTTTCTTTTGTTTTGGTTCTCCTTTCTTTTGTTTTGGTTCTCCTTTCTTTTGTTTTGGTTCTCCTTTCTTTTGTTTTGATTCTTCTTTCTTTTCCTTAAGTTCTCCTGTCTTCTTCTGTGTGGAGTTCTTTGCTCTGTCCTTAGCAGCCCTCTTTTTGAGTCTATAGTAGGCAAGAGTACGGATCTTGTTCCTTATCTGCCTCGCTTTCCTCAGTTTAAACCGATCAAAGTCTGTCATTGAGCGACGCTGTGAAGAATAGGAAAAAAATGTGTAACAACGATAAATTGTTATGCACTTGTACACTGCAGTGTTAAAGCATAACACATCAGTGCAGTTTTAGCTTCATGTGTCGATCAGTCGGCAATTCCTATCTTACCATCATCATCATCATCATCTGTGTTACCTTCCAATTTGCAGTAGTGGTTTGTTTGCTTAAAATTGTGCCTTTCTTTCTTTGAACAATTCTTTTGCCAAGTTTATAATTACTATTAAACTATCAACTAGATCTTCTAAAAAAAAATGGTTACGAAACACTGCTAAATGGGATGAAATAGTTTACTTATTGGACCGCATACACAGTACACCCACATGGATGTGTTGTGACATACTTCAGCTTTCTGTTTAAACCTCTGTAGATACTCTGAACAGAAAAAAAATCATGTAGCAGCTTAACCCATTAACATTTAAAAGTTACAGGCACCATGTAACAAATAAATGTTGTATGAAAAATGATTCTAACATTATAAATGTTGCATACCTGGCGCTTGGCTGCAATTTTCTGAGCCCAAATTCCTGCAGCCCATTTTTCATCAATCTTGTTTTTGATCCAGGCTTTTCTCACTGTTTTTGTGTGATCCGTAAATGGGAAATTAATTTTATACTTTGTAAGATGAAGCTGATTAAGCCTCATTTGTCCTCGGGGTACTCCTGTTTCTGGGCCATCTACTAAAGCCTGTACAAAAGTTAAATTGCAAATCAGAATTAATCATATTCAAGTTACGTATCTGCAACACACGTTACTATTTACTGTTGGTAATACAAGTACACAGCATAAAACAACATCTAAAACTTATCATACAATAAGCTATTAGGTTAGTCTATTACTTCATCTATACTACTTTCAATCAAATTGGCACCATCTGATATTCATTGTATACAAAATTATATTAATTTTCATCACAGTAAAGTGGTACTGTCACTATTATACATACTCTGGTCTGGTCGATGACATCCACAATAGCACAAAGTTTTCCCCTGTACGGGCCATCAGCGACATAGGCCACACGACCCGTTTCGACGAACCTTTTGAAAGGCTAAAAAAAATCGGGGGTAAATTAAAACCATTTCCGTTACTAAAATAAACTACTATAGCAGTCATATCCACATATATTCCTAACTATTGGGGAATATGAAAACACTAGCATACACGTGACCTGCTTCGCACTGACACGCCACTAATAACATGCTACATTTTAAAATTATATAACTTTACAATCTCATAAACATATAATTTCTGGTACACTGAAACAAAAAATCAAAACAAAATGCGTTAACAAATACGTATGTCCGAAACATTTCACATGAATACCACATCCAACTAAGCTTACCATCTCAAAGCGGAAATGAGCGAGACCACGGGGAAAGAAAATGTAGGAAGTAATGCTACACTAACACAACTGCACGCGCAAAACTGTGCTCTGTATGTAAAGTAAGCAGATTAATTATTTGCATTTCCACAAATAAAGTGAATATTACAATTACACTAACATTTTTATTCAAGGTTTAGTCACTTACTTGCAAGAAATAATATTAAATGAGTATCTAATTTCATTATCATTGTTTATTCCTTTTCATGCTGGACAACGACAACAAAATTTCCCATCCACTCATTTGTTTTCTCTTCTCAGTACCAGGTTTTCCTTGACGTCTTTTTTTCTCGACAGCATTCATTTGGTAATGTATAAAATATATTAAAAAACCACTTGTTCTAATTTACAATGCCTCATTAAGTTCAGGCACTTTCCCAGATAGGTTGAAAATAGCAAAAATAATACCTATGTACAAGTATAAAAAAGGGGGGCATCCATTATGTCAAAAATTATAGAACTATATCCATTCTATCAGTATTTTCCAAAATACTTACTAGAAAAAATAATGTATAATAGGTTAATACCTTTTTAGTGGAAAATAATTTAATAACAGAAGCTCAGAATGGCTTTAGGAAAAATAAATCAACAGACACATCAAGTCAGACTTTTATTGAATGTATGCAGCAGGCACTAGATAAAGAAGTTCATGCCATGGGATCATTCTATGATTCAACAAAAGCATATGATGTGATAAATCATGATATTGTAACGTGTTTTGCTACTGAAGACGCCACAGCGGTCTAGACACTTGAACGGTCGTATGCCTGACCGCCGCCAAGTTTAGGAATTTTGAAAGCCATGTGTAAATCGCGAATCGGTGTGTGCCTTGGTAAATTGCCAATGGTGCGAAGAACCTTATTTTGTAGGCGCTGCAGTTTCATTTGATGGATATCTGCCGCGAATTTCCAGGTGGGACTAGCATAAGTCATTACAGATGAGAGCCTTGTGGAAGGTCAGTTTAATGTTAGCGCTTAATCGCTCACTTTTGAATAGGGAATACAATCTTAAAAATGTTCCGAAGGCATTGGCTTCGATCATTTCTATGTGTAATCTCCATGTAACCCTCCTATCAAAAATTACTCCGAGATATTTTACACAATTTACAAATGGAATATATCTTCCATTCAATGTAAGATGAGACAGGCGGACGACAACTGCGAGATAAGTAGATCTTCTGAGTCTTACCTTCATTAATTTTGATATTCCAGCGCTCACACCAGGTCTCCATTGAGCTGAGACCGCGCTGGAGTTTTCTAACAAAATGACCCTACTTGCGGTCTGTCGCATACAGACAGATGTCATCCGCAAAGAGGGTACCTCGCTTCCCTGTTGCGTAATCGCCGTGTTTGCCGATTGCCTAGCTATAGTCGCTGCACGGACTCGCCTGTTGCGTGACGACACAGCCTAGCGGGAAGGGGTGTTTACCGAGTCGTTGTTTTCATTCCCTACAGAACGGACAATACTTTGTAAGACGAGGCAAAGACTAAATAATCCCCCCCCCTTGGCACTACAGCCCCAGTGGGCCTAGGCCTACCTCTCCGTTCACTTCGGTTTTTCTAGATCTTACACATACGGTAGGACTCCTTGGGCGAGTGATCAGCTCGTCGCAAGGCCTCTACCTGTAGACAAGCAGAAAAATGCACACAAACATCCATGCCCTGAGTGGGATTCGAACCCATGATCTCGGCGAAGACAGTGCATGCCTTAGACCGCTCGGCTACCGTGACCGGCCGACTAAATAAGTAACAATATTACTACATCTACATCACGAGCCTCTAATAACAGTTTTTTTATATACACACAAAATATAGAATACTCTAATTTGTCCGTGGGAACGCAACATAATTACAAAAGCCAACGACTCACTCGATGATGTAAAGCATCAATCGAAGAATTTTATTCTTGTTTTATACTATAACTTTTGTTTTATATAATCTAATTTATTGTATTTTTACGTCAAGTATTTTATATAATTAATATTATTGTATCCAGTTTTACTAGTACTGCCGTTCAGTGGTGTATATATGTTAACCATGTATTTGCCTGATGATTAATAGCCGAAACATGTAGCAGAGCCAAAACTAGGCACTGACCTGGATATATGTTGTGTTGTGACGGTTTTAATAAGGAAGTTGTTTACCGAGTGTTACGTAATGATAGACACAACGTTTTGGAAACCGGATCTGTTTCCTTCCTCAGGTGAGTATGGAGCTCTACTCTTTTGGGGGACCTTTCAGGTGAGATGGAAAAAAGAACCACTTTCCGAAAAAAATGTGTCCTTTCGATTTTTAGAACCCGGACGATGGACAAAGTCCATGTGCCCAGTAATTAAAAAAGATTCTAGTCTGCAAATCAATTGTGCAATGCTTGGAACACCGTGGCCGTTACGTGAGACTACCAGGTAGTACTAAGTGGTCGTGATCCGTGGATGTGACGCAAGCAGGGAGTAGTCTTTGTATGCAACGCTAATTAAGTCTCAAAATGCTCAAAATGATGGCGATAGTAGAGCACCATAGTCAACGTTAAAGCGTCCGAAGCAATTTGATGCTGTGTCTGTATTGTGATATGACGGCAGAAAGTCGGAAAATGGAACAATAGATGGCTGTTGCTATGCAACTACGTAGTAAACACGAACAATAGATGCCTGTTGCTACGCAACTGCGCAGTAAACACGTAGCATAAAAGTTGCGTCATCGGGGTCATCGGTGACTGGCGTAGTAAGTAGCGGTAAGCAGTGGAGGTAGTGAACGTAGGGAAGGTAGTGAACAGTCGAAGTGTTGGATTTGGGGTGAATAGTTCGACGTTTGAGTATTGCGTAAGATTGCGTAGGAATTTGGTTTCTGTGTTTTTCAAAGTATATTGAACGGGTTATAGTTGAAGAGTAATTTTTATCGTATATCCTAGATCGGGTGAGATATCAAATCGACAATGGCCTATCGTAATCAACCATCTAGGGGACAGAGGAGCAGTTTCCACGACGAATGTGATAATTTGTTTCGTGAGTAAAATTGTAATATTTATACTATTTCTGTCTTTGTGACAGGAGCCTTATTTGTGCTTTCTCATCATGGAAAGGAAGTAGGGTCATGTGTTTCTGTGCTCACATTAATATTTGGATCAGCTTTTTCAACATAATTCAGCCTTGGACATTAATTGAATATAGATATCCCCAGACAGCACTGAGTAGCCAAATACGTAGAATATGTTTAAAATTATTGTTAATTTCCAATCATGTTTGCCATCACAACGTTTATGATAAAGGAATTTGGATAATGGGAAGTTTTGATGACCTAACCTGTGAAAGGTGCCAACAATAAGACGAATCAGTCACACATATCCTATGTGATTGTGAGGCCATAGCTTACTTAAGATTTCATCACCTGGGTCAGTTCTTCATGGAACCGAGTAACTTTTATGATGCCCCCATAAATAAAGTCCTACATTTCAGTCAAAGTGTAGAATTAATAATAGAATTAATTAATAAAGTGCGAGAGCCAGATTTTATGGCCCACCCCTTACAACCACCCACACACACACACACACACACACACATACATACACGGGTAGTTTCACTTCAGAAATGGCTTACTTGTTTTTTTAAAGTCGTGGACCACAAGGATCGAACATTCCTGTTAAGCCTTCCACTGGTAACTGCAGTACATTTTGGCCTTCACATTGTCTCTGTGCAGTAAGAATTGGCATTTTGTTTTGCCATTGTGTTTTCCATTTCACTTTGACCTTTGTAGTCACTCTGTCAGAAATATGCCACTAGCTTTAGAACAGGAAAGGCTTGATTCAAATTGTAGAATTGTAAAGGGTGAAGCAAAAAAAAATACTGCATGCACACTAAAAATGATAAAACCACCTCATTCTTAGTGCAGGGTTGCGGAGGGGGGAATGGGCGGTTTGAAAAACTGCAGTTAAATGAAGAATTTTTATTTGCCAAATTACAAATATGCTATCTTAAAATAGATAGCATGCTGTTTATTTCTTGAAGATGTCCTGAAGGTGACTTCCCTCTCTGCACAGTTATTTTTCTAATCTTACCACATAGTGTTTTTACAACTGTCTGTTTCCTTGCCCCACCCTGTATTAATGTTGTAAATTGGCATAGAATATGAGCATCTCGTGTTGCAACACATACAGCACTGAAGAAGCATTTGCACCTGCATCCCCTTATGAACTGAGATAAAGGGACATTGAGCATTTTGAACAGTGAAGATGAGTTTGTGTTTCATTGAAATTAAAACCCATACTAGATGTTTTAGCGAAAGAATGTGGGTGTGATGAAGTCTTGTCAGGCGGTTCGTCTTGTCAAGAAGGAATGGTAAGTCATTCCAGCTTTTCCTGCCTGAGAAGGCTTCATTGGATGTAGTCTTAAATATGAATGTAGTCATTTATGGCATCTGTGACCTCAGCTTTCACACAAATTGCCACTGTTTTACTTGTTTCATGCATGTATATAAAAACGGACATACTTGCTCTCCATTGAATTCCTTTGCTTGTTCTTCTCCGTTGCCTTCATTGTGAGCGTATGACCAGTGACATATTTAATCTCGTGCATTTTTTTTTTTTTTGTGGTTTATATTACAATGTCATTATGTAGACTGTATGGCATTGAATTTTAGGTTGAATGATGAGTTGGAAAGGATTCAGAAGGAAGCAGTTGTGGCCTAATCAAGGTACTACCCTGGCATTTGCCTAGAGGGACTGAGGAAAACCACTAAAACCATAGTCAGGATAGCTGGTGTCTGAATTGAAATTCAAGCTGATCATCTCCTGAATACAGGTCTAAGACACTACTGTTTCACCGCCCTGCTCAGTGCTTATATACGTGTAATTAAGTGCTTATGTAATCTGTGTACTTCAAGGTTCTTGTTTCTCTTCCAGGTTTAATTGAACGACGTAAGCGTCGTCATGAAGGAAAAGGCACCACATCATTTGATTCGCAGACAGCAACAAAAATTGAGTGTTCCAACCGTAGATCTCGTGGTTCAGGAAATGCAGCGTTTTCAAAGTACAGAAAAATTAATGTCAACACAAGAGATCAAGATCCATTAGTGGACAGAAGGAGCTTGTGCACTGAAAATGAGCGTTCTTTGAGTAGAAAAACTACGTTAGTTAGTAGGGGGAATTCTGTGTTATATACTCCAAGAGTTTCAGGCATTCATGAAAGTCAGTCTCAAAATTTTGCTGCCTCAAGTTATCCATGTCAGAATGTTTCTGATTTCAAAAGTGGACGAATGTATTTGAATCCTCATTTTTTGAAGGAAAACAGTAGGTCAGAGTCAAGTGTAGTGGCAGAATACATTGCTTCAGGAAGTAAAGACATTTCTAAATTGAAACATTCTGTACATATAAATCCAAAGGTTCTTGCAGAGCAATCAATGAAAGCTACCACACAGTCACAAGGAACACAACCGCATACTTCGGAATTGCCCTTGGAGCCATCGGGCATTAACTTTCCCACTACAAAGTATGTACATCATAGCAGAACAAAATTAGTAAAGCAGAATGCAGTACCTAGTCACCCAACTACAAGTAACATGGTGAGAAATTCTGGAACTACCTCACAGCCTGTGTCAAAAAAATTGTCTCCAGTAAATAAGAGCTCTCCACTAGGACCTTTGATGTTCATCAGCAGGACAAAATTGGTGTGTGCTAAGTCAAGAGGCTCAAATCAAGGTTTGCAGGGTTTAGAAAACAATAGGCCCTCAGTTCCTGTGCCAAGTGCCTTCACTACAAGACACAAAGTTGTAAGAAGACAGTCGACATTGTCATGGTCCAGATCAAGAAGAAACAGTGCCAGATCTTCAGAAGTAGCTGTGAAGGCAGCAAAAGCAGTGTGTTCCGAACACAAAGTGGCGAGATCCAGTGCGACCAAAAGTCCAATTACAAAATCTCGGTATACTTACGTGGCTAATAAAGTCGCATCAGGTGAAGAATCAAAGTATAAAATAGATAGAAGGCTTCACAAATCTCCAAAGACATTAAAAACGTACTCTCTACAGTATGAAATGCTGAAACGGGGAAGATCTAACCAACGAAATATGAATTCAAAAGTGGGTTGCAAATACAGGAATGGACAGTACCCCTTCAGAAGCTTGAAGTTTGCTAATAAAACATGGAGTAATTCCACGCGTCTACAGAAGCTGATGGTTGTAAACAAGAAATTGAGGAAAATGTAAGTACAGCCCTTTTTCTTTACTTTCCATGTGGTACTTTAATATTTTCATAATCATATTTATGATGTCTTCACAACTGAGATGAATATCTGGGTTCTCTGATAACGGACTTCATTAGTTCATTCCTTCATTCATCAGTAATCTGTCAAGACGACAGGTCCACAATCTCTTCCAAAAGAGTTCCTCCACTTGATGCGATCTAGAGCTTTCTCCTTCAAATGAGAATATCCTCTTCTGTCCCAAAGGTCATCCAGCATCTTCTTACGTCTTCTTCCTCGTCTTCTGGTCACTTCTATCCACCCCTCTATCTTTCCTCCAGTAACTTCTTTTAGAAGGCAGTTACCGCGTAAGGTATACCAATCTAATTAGCTTTCATTAACTACCAGAATAAATAAGATGTATCCAAGGGTGCCTCATGCACTGTGTTTATGCTGACTTAAACTGAAAATATTGCAGGGGATTAAGTGTTCTTGCAATTTTAGTTCCATGGATATGGAGGTTCCTTTTAATTTTTTAGTTAACATCGTGTGACCATGCTGTCCATAGCTCAGTGTGTGTAGTGTTAAATGGTACAAAAATGGCACTTGAGGAAAGAATGTCTAAGGAAGTGCTGATGGCCTGATTTGGCGTGATACCTCAGCAGTTGCTTGGAGGGACTGAGGAAAACCACAGAGAAGCTCGGTCTGGATAGCTGGTGTAAGTTATGACCTTGGGGCATCCTGAGAATAAGTTAAAGAGTGCTGTGCACTTAATTGTGACATCTGATAAACTAATAGATATTATGCAAAGTAGGTACCTGGTGTTTATGCTGCTCGTGTATGGAAACAGCGTTGAATTTGGAAGTAATATGGTTTTTTTTTCTTATTGGTGGCAAAGATAATACAGTATTATGATTTAGGTCACTTGTGTGTGAAACATTGATTCCACCTGTGAAGTAATTTTATCGTGAAGTTCATTTTTCTAAGAGACCAGAAAGATAATATGTGAACAAAATTTAATTTGTGACCAAAAATGTATGTGTAAAGTTGCAAGTGATAATTCCTTAGAATTACTGGGTTTTTGGACTGGATCTGGATCTGTTTCCAAAACATCGTGTCCTCTAATACATAGAATTCCAGACGATGGAAAAATTCCAAACACCCAATAACTCTGTGTGTCATCCACCATTGTCAAAACCCTTCAGGATAATTCCTTAGTTTAACTTCATGGAACATACTGCTTAAGAATCTTCTAGTTTCTCATCTGTTTTAAATTTTATGCAGAAGGTCCATTAGCATCTTCGCTGGATGTTGGGTAGCTTCAAAGAAACTACCAAGGCTGTGGCCCAGTGCAACATTTATAACATGCAAGTTTTTTTTTTTTTTTTGTATTTTTCTTGGTTATTAGTCTTCTACCCAACCCCCAAATTGAAGGTCCACTTCTTGTCAGCTGTTCATGATTGTTTATTCTATCTGCAACCTATACCATAATTTATTAAGTAGTAAAATCTAGTACCATAATTGTAATGAGTATTATGAATATCACCATAGTCTAGCCGGTTTCCGAAGCCAAGATGAAACTCAACATTATAGATCTCCCCCTAATATATGTGACTGATTGGTTCATTCATTTATTCATTCAGTAGATAAACTACATTGATACAGGACATGTCACTTTGTTATGCAATTATCTGAATGCATTTATTATAAATATAAAGTTACTAGAAATATAACATTCTATGCATCTGCGTATCAACAGCCAATATTCGAGAATTCTTCATGGAGACAGTCTTTTATTGAATAATGGCAACCATTTAATAAGCAAGGCCTTCAGTTCCTTTTTGGTCCATTTGGTCCATTTGTGATTACCTAAGGCTTGTGTTGAGGCCCCTGTTTATCGTTGTATGAGTCTGGCAGGTGTCAGTAAATAGCCCACAAATTGATAGAAAATATAAAACATGTTACATTCGAAGTGGAAAAAATATTTATTTCTTGACATATCTTTCGCCAACACTGATACGCTTGTCCCATTGCTTTACCAGTGCATTGAAACCCGCAGCATATAGACTTTCAAATGTCCTTGATAGCAATTCTTGACCCAGTTGTGAACCACTGTATGCAACAAACACTTCCCAATATAAACAGGAAACATTTCTTTATTAATATCCTTGCATTGAGTCCATTTCCCCACAAAACACGCACAACAGAATGCTGCTGTTTGGTAGTACAGTCCTCAAGTACGGTCGCCAGTTCGACTACCAAACAGCCTCTGAACGTGCGCATGAGTGTCTGCTACCTAGGCTGTCATGAAGCTGTACTGTGCTGATACCTAGTGATACACACAGAAAACCTATTACACCCATTACAGCTGTTTTACTTCCATTTGTGACCTGTTTACTGACTCCCTTGTATTACAGATGTACAAGAATTATTGTGTAATATTGTGACATCATTGTAAATATGCTTCCTTTGTAACATGCTGAATTTGTTTCAGTGGAAACAGTCCAGATTTTGGAAAAGGCAGAGAGCAAGGAAGGAATGAACATAGCCTAAATTTGGTCAGGATAGGGGGAGTTCTGTATAGAGCATCTAAGATGAAGCTCACGCAGAGTGTTACCCCAAAATGCAGAAGTCACACTGAAGGAAGCATGGCAAACCATAACATAAAAAGTAAGTATTCCCTGTCCTTTGTAATAGTTTTATGTTGCAGACTTGTAATGTACCCTAAATCTGTATTGACCGAATGTGGAGATTTTGGTCAACATTTATGAAAGAAAATTCAGGGATACAGTTTATGGGGCCTAAATGATTGAATTATGAGAAATTGCTTTTATAAGCAAATCATCTTTTCAAATCAAATTTCAATTTTCAGGGTCCAAAACAAGGTCAAGTTCTGCTGTGTACATACGCGGGAACAAATTTTTAATGGATGCAAGCGGAAGGACTATGGTACGAGCTGCTGTGAAACCCACCAAAAGTGGAGTTAATGAACCCTCCATGGCGAATGTACCTTTGAAGAGAATAGACATTGGTGGAGTAACGTTTGTTCCGAAATCACCAAATGTCCTCGTCAGAACCAATGCTCACAATGCAAGAAACTACCTGAGGTAGGTTTTGACCCAGTGTTGATTTAACTTGAATTTCAGCTACAAGTTGTAGATTAAAGAAAATAACTGAAACCTTTTTTTATGTTTCAGCCAAGCAAAGCAGAAAAGTATAGCACTCTTAACCAGCAACCTGAGGAAAAGCAACCAGCCTTGTATCTTTTACCATCGGTTTGGAAAATGTGTGAGGAAAGATAAGGGCACATGTCCACATGTGCACGATCCTAAATACATAGCCATCTGCAAGAAGTAAGTACTTTGTGGAGAATATTTTCTTTAGATTGCTTTTCGCAATGTTCGTATTCTCTGAGTGTTAGTCTATGATGGTTATACTCATTCATACTTAATATGAATAATATATAGGTAATGATTGTGGAAAAGAAAATTGTTTTAAAATGAAGTTGTGGACTCAAAGGAGTGTGAGTGGGGCTGCTCTATTTATGTCTTTATCTGTGCACTCTATGAATATGAATTGTAATGTCTTAGAAATGAATACTTTTACATGAAGATTGAAAGTAATGTATACTACTACAGGGTTTGTTTGTAATTTATCTAATGACTTTACAAATGTTTCTCAATCTTGCAGTTTTTTGCGAGGCAGTTGTGAGGCTGGCGACTGTACACTCTCTCACGATGTTGGCCCAGAGAAGATGCCAACATGCAAGTACTTCTTGGAGGGTTGCTGTGTTAGGGACAATTGCCCTTACCTTCATGTGAAAGTTAGTGCAAAGGCCGATATTTGCAAGAACTTTCTTTGTGGTTACTGTCCTGATGGCCAGGAGGTAAGTAAGAGAGTTTTATTTTTTAGTAATTTGTTTATTGCTACACAGCATATGCAAGTCATGTGTTCATTTTATCATAACGGAGTGAGCCGTACCAATAAAGCAAGTGTTTGTTTGTAGCCTACAAATTCCAACTCCGGTAACAGATTTTGTATGTTCTGAAGCCTTTGACAGGTTTCTTTGTGCCATTTCCCCTAGTGCCAATGCAGTGGTTATCCCACTGTGGCTCTCAGCATAGGCTTGGTAGTTTAAAAGGAACGTACTATGAAAAACTTAAGGAGGGCAATGCAGTACTCTTTATTTTGTTTTTGTGTGATTCTAAAGAGGCCAACCAGGTTAATACCAGTGAGAAGGGTGATGGTAATTTAGTTACCCAGAGTGCCAGTCAAAATGGTTGTAATCTGCTGTCATGAAAAGCTGATGTCAGTCTTCATCTGTTCTTATGATCCATGCTTCTGTGTGATGCAACATTTACAGAGTAGCATGGGCTTTGTAGAGTTGATTTTTTGCATCTTCAGACTAATGATGGTTAATTGGGTTTTATATTCAGAATCATAAAATGCAGTGAATCCTAAATATTTAGAGCTTTTCACCTGTTCTGGTGTTTTACTTCTGACTGGTCACTTTTCTCATGTATGCAACATTTTTAGGTTTCCTGTGTTTGTAGAATATTGAAATGTCTGTCAGCCTGAGATATGGATCAGTGGTGGTTTGAGCCTGTAAGTTAAATATAATATTATAGTAGCACATGTGATGGTTTTCAAATGAAACCTCGTCCTCTTTAAGAAATCCAGCAGCAACACAGAAGTTCTTTATGGATGGGATCCATCAGCCTGTGTGTCAGTGGACTGTCTGACTCACCATCCATCAGGACTGTTTTTATGGGCCTCTGCTCCTTCACTCAGAACAATCCTCCAAACAGGTTTCATTTGAATGTTCCTCATAAGTAACTTTCAGGTTTCGTGGCTATGTATAGATGGATATGTATAGAACAGTGGCTGAGAATTTAATAATTTTTTGCTATAAGTTATGATCATCTCTCACTTCCCGTGAGTTTGTGACTGTCATAGGAGAGGTGTTAGGGTAGAATGTGCAACATAAAACTTTAATACAAGCTTAATTTTCAGTGATGTACCACTTCTTCTTAATTATGGCCCTTGGGGCTGAGTCATAGTAATGCAAATATTCTGTCATATAAAGAAATGTTGCCCAATTCAAGAACACAGTTGTGGTAAAGTAACCATTTCATCCGGTGCTGGGGAACTGCTGTTACCAGAATTTAGTTTGTTGATTTCTTGTTTAGTTTTCAGGATATGGTTGACCTTGTTAATACATTGACAATTCCTAATATCCAGTGCAGTTTAAGTTGAGCTAAACCAGTTGATTAACCAAATAACAGACTTTTCTATAAAGGAGAATTTGTGACTCTGTGTAGATTGTAAAATTAGATGATGATTGACACTTTGAATGTTTACTGTGATATATTGATTTTTCAATATTGACAGTTTGTATATGATCATGATGATGTTTTTCTGTTTAATGGAGCAGTGCAAGAAGCGACACACGTACCTCTGTCCAGAATTTGAGAAAGCAGGTTCCTGTTCAAAAGGTAAGTCCTGTCCTTACCCTCACAAAACTATAGTTGAAAAGAAGGTGAGAGCTCAGAAGCATACAGTGACAACAGATGAAGCACACAGTACAAGAAATGAACGGAAGAGATATTATGAGGCAGAAGAAACTGTTTCAGTGGAGATTGATGCTGAACCTCAGAATCCGCAAGTGACAAATCAAGTAGACAGTAGTGATCTGAATGTAAAGAGGTTGAAACTATTAAAAAAAGTTGATGACATGAAGCAAGCAATGCTGAATGAAGAACGCCTCTCAGATGAACAAATGGATGGTACTCCGTCTGAAAGTCAGGAGCCAAAGGTAAAACGTAAACTAGGAATTTTACCAGCATACATTCCTCTTGGCTGAGATCACAGTGATAATGTAAATGATATGATTAAGTTTTTTGTTTTTATGTAATGTATTATCAAAGTGTATAATAATTATTTGAAATAAATTCTTCATACATAAATTAATATTGTTCTTTATTTGTGAGAAGATTTTGTGTTCATAATCCCTCACATAAAGCACAGACTTGGAAACTATGCTGTACTTGGGTATAGAAAGGAGTGAGTGGAATTACTGGGTTTATTAATGTTGTGTCATACACAATTGTCTGAACCCTTTAGAATCTACTTGGATGAATGAATGTATAAGGGGTGGGCCTTCTCAGCCCTTGCAACGCGACCTACAGTGGTCTGTTGTGCTTAATCTACTTGGATAGTGTTCAGGGAAGTGTTTTTAAGGTGGTGGTTTCCGTGGTAGTGAGGAAAATATTTTGGAAATTTTCCCATGATGTCTCTGGAGTCATGGGATGATCATCGGAAGAATGTAAAATTTTAGGTTTGGACATACTGTTTACGTGAGATTTTAATGGTAGTAACTTGCCTTGAAAGAAATGAGTTATTGGTGTTTCGAATTCTGAATAATCCATGCTTGTGTTTCTAAATTATGTGTGAAGGTAAAAGGTAAATGTAAAGTTCTCTGTGTGCTTAACTAACTAAGCACTACACCATGAAACGTATGGGAGAGTGGATGTATAGACCCACATTGTCTTGACCTCAGCATGAGTTGGAGGTGAGTGGTGAGCTTCATGCCCTGCCTGCTTTATCACAGGGAAAGAGCCCCTAGTACACATTGGATGGGAGGTTGGGTGGACTGCAGAGCCAGTCTGGACAACATGGAGAAGTGAAAATTTGTCCCCACCATAACTTGAACTCTGACCCCTTAGTTGTCCAGTCTGTAGCCAGTTTCTATACTGACTGCACTATTCCAAAAAAATGTTTGGTTGAAACACCATCTTCATGAATGAAAAATTAAATGTCCCAAATTTATTCCTAGTCTCGGAAGTGGTTCTTTTAAGTGTCTGTAATGGCACGTGACAGTGTTTGTTTTTTAAATGGAAATAACTGACTGTACTAAACTGATTAAAATCAGCAGTAAAATTTTCTTAATTTTCTGAAGAGCTTTCACTGACAAAAGAATCATCATGGCTAAGTTAAAAACAGTGTCGCAAGTTTGTGTCCTAGAACAATGCTTGGGTGCCAGTTCAGAGAAAACCAAATATATCTTGAACCAAATCTATTGTGAGCTTTTTCTCTACAGCTGAAGCTATAAAATCAAGCATTGCACTACATTCGCTTAACTAGAAAGTGGCAATATATGTTTTAAGGTGATGGGAAGACATACAGAATGTTTGGCCAAAGAAAAGTACAGCATTACTGAGGTAAATGTACAGTATTGTAGTTTTGTGCTAATTTGTTATACTTCCAGTTCTTGAACTCCTGATTTCAAGCCGTGTGTTAGATTCAGGTAAATGTTACCATTTTAATATGAGGGAAATGATAATTCAGTAACAGTTTTTAAAACTATTTTGATTCATTTGTTTCAGATATGACATCCTTATATAACCAAATTTGGTTGATTTCCATCGTGTTAAAGGTAACAGATCAGTGTATTGTTATTTGTGCCACCTGAATGCTGGAGAGAAGATATCTTGGTAAGGTGATATGTGTAAGTTATGAAGAGTTATTGTCAGAGTTACAACGCAATGTAGTCTATTGAGGGTCAGCTGACTTTGGAGGAACATGTTGCCTCCATCTTAAGGGTCAAAGACTAAGCCAAGCAAGAAACCAGTGTGAAAGCAGGTGGCAACAAAGACTACATGGAGTTATATCCCAGAAGATAGAGCTCTTCATATCCAGTGATGGGAAAACCTCAGATCCTTGGTATGTAAGTTACATTAGGTGAAGAAATAACATTTATGTGGGGTACAGAAGGAGAAACTAATGCTATTGACTTCTAGTTGCTGTTTTTCAGTCTGATTCCTTCTGCTGGAGCAGGGAAGAAAGTAAAAGCCAGGTTTGTGATACTCCAGAACAACATATTTTTCTTTGTAATATATTTGTTATCAACTTCTATACAGTGTCTTAAAGGACTTTTTATATCATTTGGAACTAACATTACGGTTGTCTAGGATGTGACACCATGTAGTTTGGTGGATAGCTACCAGTGTTCCAGAGACTATATCAAACTACATGGTGTTACACTGAAGATGGAGGCGACATGTTTCTCTGAAACATCTCTTAACTTTCGGTGGACTATGTGGCATTTTATCCCAGAAGATAGAACTCTTCAGTCACCACTGGCAGAACCACAGATCCAATAAAGGCAGACACTGTGTGAAGATCTTTTTTGATGTTTAGCCTGTGACCTGAGGAATGGTGGAGAGCTGATAACTTATCTCAGTGTTATACTTTATGTATATACCAGTATCAAATAAAGAATTTCTCTGGCATATTTATTCATCTCTTTCTTTAGAATAAAAATTGTCTTCAAAATAAGAAAACTGGGGTATTTGTAAAGATTACTGTCACTTTGTGGTTTGGTAAGTGTGTACTAGTTTCAGAGGAACCAGCTGCTCACATCCTACTTACCGTGTACCAGAAGACAGTAATCTTCATAATTACTGTTATGAGAACGTCATTTCTTACAGGAGACCTGAACTTGGGTATATTTCCTCTCAAATATGATGTTCCCTTGGCCAGAATATACAGTATCTATCAAATGGGCTGACTGTAATAGAGGTGTTTGATTATTTTTTCCTATATCCTGCTACCTTAAACTGTGTTATAAATGGCAGTCGGCCAGTGTATAAGGCTGACACCCTTATTGCCATCTGTGTTCTGATCATCTATAAAATGTCTCAGCCTTGATGTGTCTCAGCCTTATGGGCCTTCATGCCTTGTTAGAGGAATAGCTGTACCTTTAACCTTGTATATGACCTGTAATGAGTGGATTGGTGTATCAGTATTGCCGTAGACTCATATTTGAAAGGTGTTTGGTTTAAATCTTGGCTGGAACACTGGGTTTTTGTGATTTTCGTCAGTGTATCCAGGTGAATGCTGGCATAGTAACTGATAGGCTATGAACACTTTCTTCCAATTCCTTTACAACACAAATCACAAATGTCACCCTACCACTGGGCACCGTATGGTTCAGCTACTGAGTGTGTTGTAGAATAACAGAAATAGCTGACTCTTGATTTTTTTTTATTGCTAGTGGGGTGGGACTAAGTCCCTTGTACTTTGCAGCCCCAGGTGATAGGTGAGGGTGATTGTGGAGTAATTGGTGGAATGAAGATTGGCAGGGGAAACCACAGTACTCTGAAAAAACCTGCCCCAGCGCCACTTTGTCCACCACAGATCCCACTTGACCAGACCCGGGATTGAACCCAGACCGCCATGGTGGGAAGCCAGTGACTAACAGCTTGAGCTATGGCATGGCCTGATCCTATGATTTACTTAAATGTAACTGTGACAATAACACGTGTATCAACAAAATTTCAAGAGTACGTCCCGCCCATTTTGTCTACAGTTTATAGTCTGTTCCATACTAACTGAATTCATCTTTGCTTTTGTTTAGGATATTTGCTGACATAATTGCTCACACAGTCTGGGGGAGCTACCCTATAGTTGTCTTGCCTTTGTTCTGCCTCTGGTTTTGGGTAAGACATTTATGTGGTATGTGTGTTTATGTACTATGAAACATTTTATAAAATTATTTATTTTATGTAGATGTGGGGCTCTTTGTATGTGTAGTTTTGTCATTACTCCTATGACAACCCACTTCTTCGGAACAGTTTGTTGGTCCTGAAAAGGACCGTGGCTGATGAGATGTTTGACCGGTGAGGTAGCGCGGCGCGCCCCGGTAAGGAGAAAGGCTAGTTATGGTGAATGGCTTGTGAAAGGCTAGTCATTGAGCGCGGTCGCTGGAGCGGAGAGGTGATAGCTACGCCAGTTGCCCGGTGTGTCAGGTATGACTACCGGCGAGTCCGTGCGGCCTAGTTGCCCAGTGAGTCGGGTGCGACCGGCAGACAGCTGTGGCAGTCATGCCTGGCGCAGTGAAGCGCCGATGCCTCCGTAGACCGAGCGCTGGCGACGAAGCCTGCTGGCTGATGCTGCTTGGTGTGGCTAGCTCGTAGGCTGGTGATGAACTGCATGACTCGGCGTTGGAGCCGCCCCTTTTTATACACTGCTCGGTGGGGCGGAGCGAAACTCGAAATTGAGAAGGAAGAATTGATTGGCTAGCGCGCGTAATGGTGTAGATGCGGGCTAGCGCCGAGCGTAGTATAAATGCGATCGTTTGAAGCAATCTGATTGGTTAGCGCATGTGATGGTGAAAAGTGATGTGAAGAGCGAGCGTTGCAGAAATGCGTGATATTGTGGGGATGTTCCCACATAGACATGACAATTCTATTGCTGTGAGGCAGTAATACAGACTGAATATTTGGACCCTAGAAAGAGGAAATAATGATCTGAGGAGTATCACATAACCAGAAGCTTCACAGGGTGACTTTAAACATTATTTTAAATTAAAGGGAGATTGTGAACAGTTTTAACTTGCACTAAAGACAGAGATGAATGAGTGATATTTCAGATACTCAGATGATGTGTCAAAGGCATGGAAGGGAAGTATTATAGCCTCCTATTAGGCCATTTACTGGGGAATATTTGAGTTTTTAGACATCCATCATCCAGTTTTAATTTAAATTGTATTAATATACCATCATCAAACCATGTGTGTCAGGATAGTTCGTCTCCAGGTCGAGATCTAAACCTAGGACCTCCCAAATGCTAAAGAGAAGTGCTGACTACTAGTTCATGTAATTAGTAGCAGTTTTGAAAGAAATGAAAAATGAATATAGCATTTTGATTGGAAAACTTAAAATGAAGAAGGAATGACTTGGGAAACCAAGATCTAGATGGAAGGATGCTAAAATGGATCTAGGGAGTAATTCTCTTGCAATATGGAAAATCTTGTTCATAATGAAAATATCACTTTACCAAAAATGTTTATTAACACAGTGTGACAGTCTCTCCATTCAATTAATCGTGAAGGATAAAAATATATTCGCATCAATATTATTTTATTAGTAGACTAGACACTTGTGAGGTGAGGGATGAAGGGACTGTCAAGGGGGGGAACAGAAACACATACTATGAATAGCATCAGTTCAGAATGTGTTAGCCACCAGTTGACTTGTATAGTGCTCATCCAAACTGAACTAAAGCAATTGTTTTGGCTCAGGTAGTAGTTGCCGATCTGTGCTACTACTGCACCTTTAATGGTTCCGACTTCCTGCATTCCTCACAGCTCTCAAGATTAGAGTCCTGTACTGTATTTAATGTTTCATAATACTGCCAACGGTTCCATACCACACTACGTGACAGAGTGAAATAAGTTGTTCCTTTGAAGAGGATACATAAATAGCCCTAGAATCAATCAATTATGACATCCATTTTCCTTCACAGACTTAAAAGTGTCTAAATGGACATTCATGAAGGATGAGATTTAATGAATGAGTATCCAGTTGGAGGGTTGATTGTATCCAAGCAGAATTGGGCAGTGAAGCAGCAGTGAGAGGGATGTCGTGTCAACAGCTTCGGACACAAAGATCCACTGCGTCAGCCAGTGGATCATATCTTCTGTCTTCATTGTAACAGGATTCAAGCCGCGAAGGAAACATGCCTGGAAAACAACAATTGAGAATATATTGTGTACATATGTATGTTCACCTGGCATCATGGGAACATAAATAAGATATGTATTCAGCATTTTGGTTGGAAAACTTCAAGGGAGGATAACTGCTTTGAAGATACAGAAATAGATGGGAGGATAATATTTAAATGGATCTTGTAGAAATGGTTTGGCTCTTCTGAATTGGGTAGCTGTGGGGTCCACATAAGAGGATTACATACATTAGTCTCATGATGAAACCTTAGCTTTTATGAAAGAACTTCCTGGCCTTGTGATTACTGGATTTTTGGACTTTGTTCATTGTCCACTATTCTACAGAACACGTTTTAGAAACTGGATATGTTTCTGAAGAATGCAATCTTAGGGGCTGTGGTAGTGTAGATCTTGTGTGAACTGACATTTTGGAAGAACGTTCCTAAGATATGTCGGTTCACACAAGATCTACATGGCGCCATGTCCCACAAAATGGCATTCTTCATAGTCATTGCTGTGAAAACCTCAAATCTTAAATGGATATGTTTCTGTTCTCAGATAAGCGGGCGGGAGACACCTACTCTGTTGGGTGTTTTCAGAAAGATCCAACATCAATCACTGGATATGATGGACAAAGTCCAAAACTCCAGTGATCTCTAGTGTTATAGATCATTGTCAGGACCATTTAGAATCTAAGTTCTTGGCCTGTTTGATAATCAGCTGCTGAATGCAGACCATGTACCGTACATTTGGTCGTTGAATAAGGCATATCATTCTTTCCAACATTATGCATAGTTACAGGATAAAACAATCTGTATTCTTTTGGATGTCTTGTGACATTTTTCCTGATGATTTTGGGATGCTATCAAGTAATTCTTTCACTGTTTTCTCTTATGTTGCTTCTATAATTTTATATAAAATTTAGGAATGTTGACATATGAAGCCTGCCCTGAAAGTTGAAACTGAGTCATTGGATTTCCCCTTTATTGGTGTAAAGGTATTCATGGGACTTCTCAACTGATTTCAAGCTGATACAGAAACTCATTATTCAATTCAGATGCATGTTTTTGGCTGCCTACTCCTTATATAAACTTAAGATATCTGTTGCCTAGGGTGTTGATCATTCATGATTGATTCGTGTGTAAAGGTGTGCCTTTGCTTAATGACATTCCCACCATGCTTAACATGGCCACAATATGGAGGAGAATGGTCAGCTTCATGTCTCAGACACTTTGCACCCTTGGAAAGAGCCCAATGTACCTATTGCACAGGAGGGTGGTTGGGCTCCAAAACCAGTCTGGACATGGTGGTGAATCTCTGCCCTGCTGGGAATCAAACCCCAATCCCAGCCAGAGACTGATCTGGGGCTATTTAATCAGGTTATTTCAATTGCACTGGTTACCCACTGTCATTTGTAGGATTACTCTCAACGATAAATTAGAACGGACACGAAAGGAAGCAGCAGTCGTCGGTTTTGTTGCACTGTTCCAACTAGAACTGACTGTGCCATTTAGGTCACCATGTTTCAGAAGATTGAAACATAGTTAATGTGTCTGTAACCAATGTTGATATTTTATCAATGTTTTTGAAGATTCTCTCAGAACTAGAATCATTATTTGTAGCAAGAGCTCCATATACTTAAACATTCCATAAATTTCCTCATCTGTGGAAAAGCGAGGTGTGTGTAATCATGAATACTGTGAATGTGATATAGACAAGGGACTTTGCTATTAGTTGCGTTTTCTAAAGTACCAAAGAACAGTGAAAAAATATGAGTTGTGAAAAATAAAGCTAGTTACATGCTCATGATCTGAATGAAGGACAAAACTTTGATCATTATCTTTTGTGCACAGTAATAGTTAATCATTATACCATTAAGTCTGCTAATTTGATATAATTATTACCACTCGCAGATCCTCTTGGGACAGCTGGGAGATACCCCCCTCCCTGATAATAGCCATGTCCATCTCATGTAGAATAGTTGCTTGCTCAGCCAATCTCAGACGACGACGTAATCCTGTGTGCATGCTATGAATTCGTAGGAGCACTTTCTGTAAAATAAATCCCTTAAAATATAGCTATAGCCTAGTTCAAATGTCCTTCGTAGAGTGATTTATAGTAATCAATTATGACAGTGACATATTATTAACTCTCCTATAAAGCTTAACAGTTTTTTGGTACTTTTTCTTCCTAAAAAGTTGAAGTAATATGTGAAGAAATTTATGATTTAAAGATCCTAGCTAATATTGTTCAGGGATATAAATCAAGGAGAGATGAGCTGAATGTGTAGCTCACAGGATGCACAGAGAATTTTTGTAGGGAAATCTGTTTACTTAAGTATGCCTTAATATTGGTATAGGTTGGAAAACAGTATGGAAGTGTTGCAGCCTATTTTAAGATACTGCTCAGGTTTGTCAGTGTATGGGCCACGAATCTTATCTAGGACCTTTAACACAAAGCAGCAGTTTTAATCACCCATCTATAATGTTCAGAGGGGAAGTGTTTTAGAATGTAAATGAGGAAAGTCCAAGAATATGGGGAAATATGCACCCAGACCTTATGGAAACTGGTTGTAATATCTCTAGCTATAAATTAAAAGCATTTAAAAGAATTCTGTTGAATACCGTATGACTACACTTCTGCTACAGCAGACTAACTGCAGAACTTTTAGAATCCCTCAGTTAATGGTTAGAGCTTACTGATTTAAGTGTTGCCCATTACATCGCGTAAGTCACATCTCTCAGTGATGCTTTACAACAGGTAGCAGTAGGGTGTATATTATTTCACCCTGTTGTAACTATATCTTATTATTTTATTGAATTTCATGCAGGCCTACTACCACCGAACATGAATTGCTTTCTTCTGTTGCAGAGATATGTCTCACTGTTTCATGATCAGTGGCATGGCAAATAAGAAATACCTGTGTAATTTTTAGCATTGGTTGCAGCATGGATAGGAGTTTTGGATTATCCAACTTTTTTCATTTTCTGTGCTACTCTGCCCCCTCTATTATCATAAGTAATCAAGAGCCCACTGTATATACTATACATACAAATACAACAGATGCTATGCTTTACCACATGCCCAGGGTAGAGATAGGAGAGGTGATATGGATCCCCACGAAACAGGTCTATGGACTTGACAATATCTTCTGGCTTTGGATGGACACCACTGCCCAAGAGTCCAAGAACATATGCCCAGTGTTCATGCTCTTCTCTACCTTTGAGTGTATCGAGCTGTGCTTGAACACATCGGAACACTGGTTTATAGTTATATAATCGTTTGCGTAGTCCTTCCATAGCAAACTCTGTTCGCTGCTGCAGAGTCCAGAAATGTTGACACAGAAGCTGTCTTGGAAACAGGTACCTGTTAATTAATGAATAAACTTTTTTTTACTGAGATTCAAACCAAATGTTCATAAGACAGAGCATTAATGAGCAGCCATGGTCTTCAGAATTAATACTCACACTAATGGGAATACGATGTAATTTGCAAATGGTAAAGTAGACAAAATTAGCATAGGGGCAACCCTAATCATATCTTTCGGCATCTGGTGATACAGCTCAATTTCCTTCCTAGTAAGGCACTTAAATTTAGCTGGTGTTGACAATTTTCTGTGGATTTTAAAGTAGTATTTCATATCCCTGTAAAAGTCTTTAATCCCCACCATAAATATCCGGTAAACATGCATTGCAGTTGGAAATTTCTTTTCCAGTACTTTCCCATAGCCTTTGACAAATTGCATATAGCGTGATAGAGCATACTGTTGAATGCTTTTAGTACTTTTTTGTTTTTCTGAGCCCTCCTGTGATTTACTTTCATTAATTAATCTGTAAAGAGAAAAGGACATCATTAAGTATGGCAAAAACAATTCCCAAAATATGGTCTGATCTACACCTTTGTTAAATGCAGTGGAATGCAGTAGAGCACCATTCATGCAACATGACATAAAACACTACAATTAAGTAAATAATAAAAATTAAAGTAACAATGAAAGTTTTATTTAAACCTAAGTTTCTAATTTGGTTAATGATATTGCAGTCAGTGTAGCAACTGGCTACAAGCTGGATAGCCAAGGGGTCAGAGTTTGAGTCTCAGTAAGGGCAAGAATTTTCTCCTCTCCATATCATCCAGACCGGTTTGGTGGCCAACCCAGCTTAATAGCGAATGGGAACTGAAGGGGGGGGGGGGAAGCTCATTTCCCAGGAGTAACGCAGCTAGGACATGAAGCTGACCACCAAGGTGAAGAATGAAGCTATACATCTACTCCCCAATGTGTCTTCATGGTATAGTGCTCAATTAATTACGCAGAGGGACAACTTTAACTTTTTATCTGGTTACACCACCAGCACCTTTGTATTTTGCACAACTGCTGTGATTAAAAGTAATGAGCACCAAATTTTTAAAATTCCAATTACACCAAAACCCACGTTAACGATATGTGAAAATAATATATTTCTTTATGATACACAGAGGATTTCGCGCTTTACATATGTAATTTCATTTATAATGTCAATAGTAATGACACACTGTAAGGTAGTGTGAAAGGTTAAGGTTACAATAATTGAAATTTCTGATATAAGACAAAAGTTTCTTTCTGCATAGTAATTACAGACCTATTACTACATATAATGATTCTCTGGCAGCGACGAATTCGCCACCAGTGTGTTTTAACCAACGTTGAAGACATATGTATTATAATATTTAAACGACAACTCTTGTTGTTATCCTTGTCCTTCACATGGTTCCTTTCTCCTTGGTCCATTAATAGCAGACGACGTAGTTAATTAGCATCATGATCCGTGATTAACCAGTTTCCAAAACTCGTTGGTAACGTCGATAACTATGTAGCACTAGTGTCGCTCGATAGACTTCGCACTCCCCCGTTATTTTAAAGGGCTACAAGTTGGTGTTATGAATTCTCACAGAAGAGTGGGAAGAGTACCGTTTGCTGAGTATTAGCTTAATTAATCAATGGTTTAATTGACGACACTGTCAGTAGCCCAGGCCATATAGCGTCACGAGATGGAATGATCAGTGAATGATATTACTGTTGGTGGGTATGAAACTACATGGTGGTGCATTCCAGAAGACCTCAATTTTGAATAAGGAGTGGCGCACACAGCAAACGTCAGTAATCTATTTTGCTTATACATTTATTTTCGCTTTCGTGAGAACCTCAAATTTGATGGAGTGAATAATTAATTGGGAAGGATGTTAAAGGAAGTGGTCGTGGCTTGAGAGGTACAATCCCGGTGTGTGACTGTAGGAACAGAGCAGAACCACAAACCCCTCAATGAGGATTATAGTCATTTTATAGGCTAGGAATTTGACCAGAAGTTATACTCGCTTGACCGAAAATTCCAATTTAAAAAAATGCAGATCATAGAGCCGAGTGTCGAAGATTTCATCAACTTCACGCAATAGACCAAAAATAGAATTTTTCCTTTGTTGGAGATGGGGTAAGGTGATTTAGACGTGAACTGTGCCAACCAATTTCCAGGGTTCCTTGAAACAAGGTATGAGCTAGTCTTAACGTTGGCAATAGTGTTCAAATACCGTTTTGATGGTTGTTTGGAAGTCTGCAACGGTCTGCATCGATAACTTGTGCCTGTAGATATTCGATATCCGCATGTAATTTAAAAATGGCTGCTGTAAAGCTGATTTGGCAATGTATGTTTAGCCCTAGATTGCATAAAGTATATGATGATAGGCGACCCGATGTGAGTTTCTTTAATGAGTGAAATGTGTTTATATTTCCAAATGTAACCTTTATAAATACTTATTTTGTGGTTTCCAAGTAATCTTAGCCTAACGTTACTTCTCTAGGTTCTGTACGAAGCAGGACATTTGGAAAAATGGGGAGATCAGGTTATTCATTCGGTGAGTAATGTTGACAGTGGCTTGATTAATAATGTTAGCCTGTGTTACGACGAGTGTCGTACCGGATATTTTTGCGACAGTACGAACTCTTGGATCTGTTTGTGGTGTGTTGCAGTGTGATGTAATTTCTATAATTGATATAGCTCATTTTATTATCTCCTGTGAATACATAAGTAGGAATCTCTCTGATACTGTGACTCATTAAGAATTCGATGCATGCACTTTTATTTTTCAGTTGTTTATCATGTGGAATGTTGGCCTATACACTTCTCCGATTCTGGCAACAGTTTTGTATCGCAGAGGATACTTCGTTTTTGATGGAATTGTAACGATTGCAAAATTTCTCACTGGAATTGGCCTGATTCTTGCAGCTTCCTACTGTCTCCGAGGTATAGGTCGAGCTAATAATCACGCTTATATAACTTTCCTGAATTCGCTTACTGCTGCTAAAAAGGAACTTAATAAAGATACAAAGGTTTGTACCAAAATATTATGTATATACAATAGAGTTTGATGTATGAACTCAAAAGGCATAATATTAATGTATAGCTGTACCATAAACAAGTTAATAAGTAGCTGTCAAATGTATGAATAAGGATTAATAATGTTGGTGTTAAACTGTTTGTGCTGAATGCAGCAGTAAGTATTTGTGTCAGTGTGACTGTTGAGTCATTGGTCTAAGAACACTGCCAGGCATGGAATGTAAAAGTAAATAATTTTAAGTGTTGTATCGAAGAAAAATTATGGGTTGAAAGAATGTATATAGAATCAAAGATATTTGTGGTAGTGTGCCAGAGACTGAAATACAGTTAGAGTTGATGCCACCCAATGTGATTCATTTAAGATATGCGTCTGTTAGATTGGTGTGATGTCTGTCACAATTTAACACATTGAGGACCGGTCGCATGATACCATGATTTTAGGACATGTTAGGTTGTAACACACTATACCTTGCTCTGGTGCCACCCAAGTTGCGCACAGTGATGTAATAAAACTCTGGAATGTTTGCTTGCTTGTCAGTAACTTGACCTCGCTGTTTTCTTAACCCACTATAAGCGAAAATTCTTTGCTGCTCTTTGAGCTGTATGTATCAGCCAGTAGTTAGTGGTGGGGTATGGACAAGGACAAATTCTTCTCCGCTGAGCTAGCTGATCTGCCTTGTGAGACGTGTAGTCATGGTGATTCAGAGAGCGGCAGTGATAGGGGAGAACAAAGAATTGTGGCCACAGACAGGAAAAGTGACAGCAGGTCCGACGATAATGGGGGTAATAACATTGCGGGGACAGTAAAAAATCTAAAAAGATCACAAAAACTAAACCCTGATTCAAAATTGAAATACAAAGCATTTCTGATGAATGTGGCAAAGGCCTGGCCTACAGGCCAGATGGTGGCGGGAGAACCAGAGTCAGACACAGACTTAGTGCGACCGGGCCCATCAACTCCCACCCCACGCAGGCCTCATTTGGACCCCCCTGGGCGACTCTCAGGTGATATACAGAAACATACCCTTGTGAAAATTGTGAAGAGTGAACATTCCAAGGGGAAGCATCCTTCTAGGCAATGCCGTGTTTGCACATTTCACAAAAAAAGGAGAATGTCCACATTTGCAAGTTCTGTGTAATGCCACTTCATAAAGGGGAATGTTTCCAGAAATATCACACCCTCAAGCACTTCTAGAAGCATTGATAAGTGTTCTCCAAACATTTTAGTTCAAAAAATTAATTAGGAGATTTTGTATCAATTTTTAAAGTGAACAGTACACAAGTGAGGATAGTAGGTTTAATAATGGTGGCCCCAGGGTGATTTAAATATTTAAATTGCTGGTCCTTAATGTGTTAAGTAAAAAACACATGACACTTGGCAAGTGAAGACTTGACGTATTCCATTCTGTTTCAACAGTGGAACATGAAATAAGGAAGACACAGTATGAGAGGTGTTTTATTTCTTCTAGGCAGATATGCTTTAAAAAGTGACTATATTTGTATGTACATGTTTTTTTCAATTTTTAGCTTGTGTTATGGCATGTTACAATATGTGAAGTTATGTCTAACACCAGGGCAATGCACATGTGTCCCATAATAAATTATTTTAAAAGTTGAATTATGTGGGATTTATTGTAGTCCTCTGATTTCTGTTATAGAAAGCATTATCAAGATATGATTTTGAATTCTACGCTTGGCCAGTTGAATTCAAGTGGTCCGATATAGAAGGGTGAGTTGCTTATGCTGAAATTGTATTAGACCTTTCCAGATATTCCCTAGCATAAGAAATTTAAATAAATAATTGTGAACATTTAAAGTTGATTCATTTGAGCACTTTGATTGTACGTCAGGTTGTGATCTGTATGTGAATAAGACTTATATGTTGCTGTATGTTAGACTTGCTTGCTTAGTAAGTGTGTAACACAACCATATGTAAGTTTACAGTTGCACAGAGTCATAGATGTTGATGCAGTTTTCAACCCCCCACCAACACATGCGCTCACACACATGCAGACACACAAATTTAGAAAAGTAAAAATTATCAACTTTGATCTTAAACCAACATGATTCACAGAGGAGTTTTCTGTGACAGTAGTTTCGTATTTATTTATTTATTATGGTAAAGTGATAAAGCATGTGTGACGTCCGTTAAATACAAATGCCCATACTTGGATGCTGTGTGAGTGTGGGTACACTTGTGCTAAATTGTGGTGCAACAAATGTGGCACGTACTCAGAAAGTCCAACCCCTCCTCTGATTGAAGGGAAGACCCCATTTTGAAGTACATAAATAGGTAGAGCTATCCCTGTAACAGGCCAAGAAAGCCCAAAGGGTTGTGAGATGAGGCTCTCACATTTTTTTATACAGTCGGCTCTCAGATGGTGGTAGGTTGTCAGCTTTACATGTCTGCCGCCCTTTACCCCCCAGGAAGATTCCTGGTACTTGTTTCTGTTGGAAGCTAAGTTGACCCCATGGCCATAGTGTGGCTAGAAGAATTATGTCAGTTGAAAAAATCCACCTCATCCGGGCTTGAACCCATAACCTTCCTGCTTGTAGCATAGTGCCTCAACCAACTATGCTACCGCATGGCCCCTGAAATACATAAATAGTCTTGGACCAAACAAAAATTTGATCGTGGGTGCTGAAGGGGCCCGAAACTACTAAGAATGACTGTTCTGGCAAAGGCCAGAAAGAATTTATTGACTGGACATGGACTGTCATTTATTGCCTCGGTGGGGAACAGATATTAAGTAATTTCAAATATTTGTTCTACCTAAATTGCTGTATAATTTTATATATGCTGGCAACATCAGAGTGCAGCATGCCTCTGAGGATGTGAAGTGATTTATTTCAGGGACGTGGTGGGTTTCATTATTATTAATGTTGAGACCTAGTGCTCTGATACCAAATAGTTACTTATAGTTTGATCCAGTAGATGGCACTAGGGATGAATAGTGCTGGACACTTTATCTGAACAAAAATTAATTCCTGTCAGGGTCACGATTTTCTGATTTCAGAGATGAAACCAAACATCGCTTGTATGTGGACCGGCCATCACCTCGACGGACAGCAGTTGAGTGGCTGTTTGCATTGCCATGTCAGGTGGTCAGCTGTTTAGTGGCTCACACGTTTGGTCTGCGTCTAGTGTACCCAGGCTGTATATCTGTTCTGCAGTACGTGATGTGTGAGTGTGTTGTGACACCTAATGCCCTTATAGTTACATAACATGACAATGGTTGCACATGAAAATTATCTAACAATGTGAGATTGAGTTTCTGACAGCTGTGACTGAAGAACACTGTCTTCTGGCATGTGATGCCACGTAGTCCTGTAGAAGTTTACTGATATTCCTCTGCAACATCGTTAAACTTTTCCCAGACTACACAGCATTGCATCCAAAGATACAGCATTTTTCATGTACTTACATCTTCGAGGGCATTTTAGCATCTGAAATTATGTGTGTGCATATGAGGTAAGTTTCAGTTTTTTCACCTTAGGCAATGAATGTTTATTGCCTATGTAGGATTGTGTGTTTAAGCATCTTTGCCCTCCACCTTTCAGAGATGGAGAACCTATTAAAAATTAGTATTTTTATATCATAATACAATTGTAAAAACCACTGTTTAAAGAGAATTAGGTTATGAGATTACATTTTATGTTTGCCATATTAGCAGTATATAAATGATCTTATTTGTTTTTTTATGTTGGATCAATTTCTAGTGCCTCCCAGGTATGATATGTGGAACCTTGCTGACCTCTGTCATTCTAGATGAGGGCAGAGAAAATATTTCTAAAGAAGTGGGGCACCCATAAGACTGATTCTATTTCCTCCACTGATAGGGGTTATCATGAAAATGATGGTGAACAGGGAAGGCCTACTGCTTAATATGGGCCTGGTGTTCTACACAGCTTTGATACTGATGAATGTTTCAGTCTGTAAGCAGAACAATATGCACACAGTATCAACTGGAGATCAAACCCACAACCCTTTGAACAAAAGTCTAGTGTCATGCTGTGATACTGCACTTATATTCAGTTCAAACTTACCTGTGGCCCTGTACTGTTGCAGCTCCAATCCTGTTGCAAGGTAGAATCAAGCTTGTTAGTGAGAACCAAGCAGAACGATTCAAGTTGTGGACCAGGGATGGTAACCAAGTGGACACTATGTTTGTGGACAGGAGAGACAAGTAAGAAATGTTTTACTTTGCTTCATGTAGCAAATTTCATACAGTTAAACTTCACTTGGCTCATCCTGGTCTGTCACACTAGTCACAGTATAAAATGACTCATCACCATCCAGTGTGATTGATTAATGAAGACTGTATGTCAATTTTTCAGTGTCGTTAACATGTTTTGGTTGGATTGACCATCATCAGAAGGACGCATATTACGATGACCATTGTAATAGTGGTTTCCTAAGTGTTGATTGTGTGCTTTGAAAGTGGTCAACCTGATTAAAACAATCATTGTTTTCATTCCCTACAGAATGGACAATACTTTGTAAGATCAGGCACCGACTAAATAATTTACATTAATTTACTACATCTACATCACGAGCCTCCTATACAATTTTATATACACAAAATATAGAATTTCCAATTTGTCCATGGGAATGGAACAAAATTACAAAACCAATGACTGACTCGATGATGTAAAACATCAATCAAAAAATTTTATTCTTGTTTTATATCATAACTTCTGTTGTATTTTTACGTCAAGTATTTTATATAATTAGTATACTGTATCCAATTTTACTAGTACTGCAGTTCACTGGTGTATATGTTTTAACCATGTATTTGCCTGATGATGGCTGTTAATAGCTGAAACATGTAGCAGAGCCAAAACTAGGCACTGAGCTTGATGTTTGTTGTGTTGTGACAGTTGTAATAAAGAAGTTGATTAAAACATGTCAAGGTCAATGACAAATTGACATACAGTTTTTATTACTCAGTCACACTGGATGGTGTTGCATGTCATTTTATACTATTCTCCTTCAGTTTCTCATGTGATAATGCTTAAATATATGCATTCTGAAGATGTGTTACAGGCAAATGAGAAAAGCAAAATAAATTATGGGCATTTAACAGCGTAATTTGAGGGTGTTTGATAAGAGGATATTGCGGAGGATATTTGCACTTGGAGCCCTGTTTGCTTCTTAGTAGTTTGGCTTACTCATGGACCCTGAAAGTGTAGGCAGTTCATTCCTCTTTAATGCTGGTGAACTTCTACCACAGCACATGGTGTCAGCTCCCAGAAAATAATACTTTTATGTTTGTGATCACTCTTAAAATATTTTATTGACAGTACTGAGGGGAACTTGTAGCCCCCCACCCAGTGAATGAAGCTTCTTTGCGTTCAGACACTGATTTATACCTATAACAAATGGCTTACTTGTGTTTGTATTGAGGTTTAAAATTTAATGTTTCAGTGTTCAGGATACTCAAGACTTGAGTATCCTCAATTTCCCAGTTGTGTCAGAGGATCATGCTGAATTCTACTAATTTCATTTTGTCCCCATGTTATAGGCATGCCAATGGGAGCACTCTGGTTATCTGTTCAGAAGGCAATGCTGGCTTCTATGAAATCGGGATAATGGTTACTCCTTTGGAAGCAGGGTACTCAGTTCTGGGATGGAATCACCCTGGATTTGGTGGCAGCACGGTATGGTACATTTCATTGCCTTATTGTAAAAGTGATGAAGTATCCATGTGTACATCTGAAGATTTTCTGACAGTATGCCCTTGCCCTTGCTGAAATAGTGATAATGCCCTTGACTCACATTCAGGAAGTGCTTGGTTCAAATGTTGTCCAGGGCATCAGCCATCCTGACTGTATTTTTTCATGGTTTTCTTCAGGCCCTTGATTACTCCATTACCGTTTGCTTCTGAATGTTCTCCAGTTCATAATTCATCTATCCTACTGTTCAATGTTGTATTGTCCAGATATCTAGAGTGTCGTAAATTACTAACCTTCCTCCCCAGGTGTGTCTCCTACTGAACACTTTTTTGTTATTAAGTAGTACTTTATCTGCTAATTCATAACTAACAGTTATGTAACAATTATAGTGTACAGTTTAACATACTGAATACTGAAGTCTTTATTGCCAGCTCCACCAACAGAAGATTTGTACAATCATGATCTCTGTGTAGATACTCCTATGTTCTTATTGACTGAATTGAATTGTGACTGATTCCAGTATGTTGTCACGATTTAGGGATGTGACTATAGATGGGGTATGGTTTGGATATTGGATTTATTGACACAACTCAGAACTACAAGTAATTACAGCACTGTTGCTGATTTCCAAACTTTACAAATCATTTGCATACACCAGGACATCTCATTCTTCATGAGTCGTATCCTGGCAACAGATTTTAGCACACTAATTATGACAGTCTCACAGTAACTACAGCAAACATAAAGTCTTCTTTTCACAGCTGCCCTCTTCTTGCGACTAACACTTTTCTTCATAGCCACACTTTCATTTCTCAACTGAATGGATTGCCCCAGTTGTCTATTACTACTTTGCATTGGATGAGTAGAGAAACCATTTCCAACATTAACTCCATTGTTGTTGAGGTGTATTTACAGATCCATTGCTTAGAAACGGGTCGTGTAACACCGTTGTGCTGTTGTTGCATGCGTGTATGTTGTGGGTATTATGTAACAGCAGCCTTTGTATTGCTTAGTGACAGGTCTCTATGTTACATTACTAATATGGCCTTGAAACTACTATGACGTCGTCATGTTCGCATTTTGAGACACTATTTCCACCACAGTTAGAAGCTGGAATGTGCTCAGGGAATTAAGTGTGAAGATCTGATCAGGGGTCTCTGAAAGAGACCACCATGTAATTTCCTGCTTGTTCTTCATGCTCAGCGTTCATGAAGCGATTTTCAGGAATGTAGCCCCCAAGTATAATGAGAATTACCTGTTTTCATGATCTTTGTTCTCATTTTCCTGGTTACATGGTTCTTTCTATTTTTCACAGCTCCAGTGATTTGTTTTATGTTTCAGGGGATGCCATACCCGGACCAAGAACTAAATGCCATCGATATTGTGATGCAGTTTGCCATTCACAGGCTGAAGTTTCAACCTGAGAATATTCTCTTGTTTGGTTGGAGTATTGGGGGCTACCCATCATCTTGGGCTGCCATGAACTATCCAGATGTCAAAGGAGTGGTATGTGTTTAAGTTGTCAGTGGCAGTTACCTATTATTGTTGTTGTTGTCGTCGTCGTCGTCGTCGTTGTTATTATTATAATTGTTGTTGTTATTATTATTATTATTGTTGTTGTTGTTGTTATTAACGGTGAAATTTTTCTTGATGTTGCTTTCATCACTGATGGCCAGTTTCTTTGTTATTACTGATACAGAAGTAGTAACATCCTTCACTGGGGTCAAAGTTGTAGAATCTGGCAGTAGTAACCCATTAGCTTTTATGTTGGTTGTCTTTGTACCTGAATATTTGGCAATAGGTTGTAGGGGAGGTAGCTGTCCCACGCTACCTGATAATGGCTTTGCTTCTCGGAGTACTGGAAACAATAAGCGGTTATATTAAGTGTTTTAATGTTTACATATTTCTTATGAAAAAAAAATGCCTTATTTTTCTTCTAAAATAAAGGCTACAGTCAAACAAACTGTGCATTTTGACCACAGAATCAAAACTTACCAGTAACAGATCCTTTCCCCTCAGTATGGATCTGACCATTGGAGATCTTGAGATTGATCATACCACTCTTCCCTCCTCCAACTGCAGCTGGGATTGTCATGGGTACAAGAAGACTAGCTACTTTTGGTTGTTGAGATGATGATGGTNTTCATCCGTACCCAGCCGGCAGACCTCAGTACCTGAGTCCTCTACTATGGCCAGCGACAACCAGGCGGCTGATGGCTTCATAACGGTTCAGAGGAAAAGGAAGGAAAATCACCCTTATTCTATCCCTTCAAGTGTGCCCAACCCTCCGAGGAGAAATAGGACTCCACTTTTTGGTAACAAAAGCGGCTCATCTCTGACAACGGTACCCAAGAGAGTCAGAACCAAGGCACTTTTTGTCTCCCGCTTCTCTCTCTCCTGAAGTTACATCAGCTGACGTTGATCGGTCTTTAAAAGATCAATTGGAGCTTGCTTCCCTAAAATGCACTAAGTTAAAAACAAAATTTAGTTCATATTCCTCATTTCACATTTCTGTTTCGGAAGATGATTTTCATTTAATTAACAATACAGATGTCTGGCCAATTGGTTGTCTAATCGCCCCTTATTACGGGCGATTAAATCCAGACCAGATTTACTCTGT